ATTCCAATCCACATGTGGGTAGGCTACGTCAGGCAGAAAGGCACTTAAGTGGCACTTTTATGAATCCTAATCGAACGAACAGATAGAAACGATCGTCTCCTACAAGTGTACTCAGATAACCATTTATTTCTAACCAGCACAAACTTCAGACATGGTCTGACGTGGCGTCCACCGAGATCAACTCAGCGGTGGACACAGATACAAAGGCTATCGTGTCCGTACAGAGGTTTCGTTGGTCACTGACCTCACGAGGGCTGATCCAACTTCCCAGGTAAATGTAGCGGTCAACGCATTCAACCATTTCACTCAACACTGTTAACATAGGAGCGACTGTAGGCTGCTCCTAGAGCAACAGTTTGCGTTTTGCTTGTGAGAAAAACTCACATAAGATTCTGAAGTTGCCAGTCAATTTGTCCTATACGGTCTCGGGCTAGTCAGTATCGCCTAAGAGTCCTATATTGTCTGTATATTCTGTATCTGCTAGGATTATTACTGTATTAAGGTAAACCCTTGTGCTCTCAGACTGGAGTGAGGTGTCTACAAGAACGTCTGTGAGAATTGATTGGGAGGAGTGAGTGAGCATGCTCGACGGACAGTAATCGGTGCCTTCAGCTTACTACCGATAAATTTGCTTGGGAGGTTGGATCAGCCCTCACACAATCCTGTCTGAATCCTAACTAGTTTTCTGGGGCTGCTGTTCCGTAGTTTCTAATGATTTTAGATTCCAGAATCTTAGACTGTATGTCCGTCAGGCTGATTCACCTGTGGTTGTCACAAGAAGACTGCTTGCTTTTCCTGAAGACTGATATAATAAGTGATTGAAACCAGTTAGAGGGGATCGCATCTGACTCTCATGTAGCAGCTAGCACTCCAGTTATTTTGACCAGTAATCCTCCATCACCATCCTTGTATACCTCTGGAACTAGCCCATTTGACCTTTTTACTCATCCTCATTTTAGGTTGCCTGGAGCTTTCTTGGTTTCTGCAAGTATTGGGGTTTCCATCTCGGTGTTCTACTCAGGTTCAGGCTGTATAGTGGGCAATAGAATACTAGATGGAGACCAGTTAAACTGTTCCTCGAAGTGTTCCACTCATCGTTCCAGTCATCTCCCTGTGAGTGAATCGCAGACCCATTCATCTCACTATCCACAGAACTTTTCGCTCCAGTTTCCTTGATATGTCTAAATAACCATCAACTGTCACCTATCACCGTTGCCTTTTCCATTTCATTAGCCTTCGTGATCTTTGGGTAGACTATTTGAAAGTCTGCCTTCGAGTTTCCTTCATTCCATGCATCTTGCCTATGGACGCAGACAAATCATATTGCGATGTCACCTTTGGAAACGATCAGTGGAGGAGTTTTCTCGTCAGCTAAATGCAAATTGTTGCTCTAGGGGCAGCCTACAGTCGCTCCTATGTTAACAGTGTTGAGTGAAATGGTTGAATGCGTTGACCGCTACATTTACCTGGGAAGTTGGATCAGCCCTCGTGAGGTCAGTGACCAACGAAACCTCTGTACGGACACGATAGCCTTTGTATCTGTGTCCACCGCTGAGTTGATCTCGGTGGACGCCACGTCAGACCATGTCTGAAGTTTGTGCTGGTTAGAAATAAATGGTTATCTGAGTACACTTGTAGGAGACGATCGTTTCTATCTGTTCGTTCGATTAGGATTCATAAAAGTGCCACTTAAGTGCCTTTCTGCCTGACGTAGCCTACCCACATGTGGATTGGAATCACCTGCTACGCCAGCCACGTTGGAACGTTCGGCTCTCAGTAGAAGGTTAGACAGTTTTCTGTAGAACTCACCCTTCACCTCATTCGAACTGGAGTCAGTGAGTACGTAAGCAGATATTACAGGGAGATAACGGCTATCTTCCTTCCAGTCCTTATTGTGATGTTTAGTCGAACAGCACACAGACAGGCAACTGTCATCTGGGATTCAGTGGAGTAGAGAACTTTCTGTCTTAGTGCTCAGTGCTATGGTTACACGTGCAAGACTACAAGAAGTGGCCGTTGAATCTCCAGAAACTTCCAGAGTGAATTTCTCAGATTCATCATATAGCATAGTTGAGGTTGAGTGAATAACCACAGTTGGTTTCTGTATACGTGACTCACAAACTTAGGGCACATCCATGGCCTGAGTTGCTAGGGTTTTTGCTAGTGAAGATTGTTGGCCGATTTCACGAAGGGTGTTGATATTGAAAGCTTCAACGTGTAGTTTGGAGCATGTTTTCAAGAAACCAGTGATACTGCTTCCTGAACTCAGATGGTTGTGAAGAGCTGGAGAGGTCGAAGAAATTAGAAGTGATTTTGGGATAATTGACTGACAGACGTGAAGGAAGATTGAAAGGTAAGGATATGGAAGGTTGACAGTGATCCGAGGGAACTGGAATGCTGACAGAGTCTATAGGGGTGGTTGACACTTCCCAGTCTCCCTTACCGTGGAAGGCTATTTCTTATTGAGTTACCCGAAAAAGAAGGGTTAGTGCGTGACCATAAAGCTTAAGGGACATCTGCTTGAGGCCGGTCACACATGGCCTTCTTGGGAGTTTGAGGTTTGGTTTGATTTGTTGTTTTTGAAGCCGACAGACTATAAATCCAGGTGGCCGTCTCCGGTATGCTACTGGGTAGATGGGAGTATGCTATTCTTATGACCAACCTTTTGTAACTCCCTTTGCCATAGGTAAGGCAGCACCAGAGTGGCACTGCTGGTTATTCGAGGGAAACAGCATACTTCTTTAGTGTTGATGTCGTGCAGGGGCAGGGATTCACCCTGGGTCCGATGTTGGGTTTTGATTGATGCAGTTACGGTGATTGCCTTTTCGGTTTTTAGTATCCGGGAGAGTTTTGTTTTGGTTTTTGATCTTTGGTTTGGAATGTTTTTAGCTGCAGCGGAGTTTTAGGTTATTATTGTATTGTGTATTTGGTAATTGGCTGTGTCAACCCGCTTCGAGTACACTTCGTATATCGGGATCGCCGAGTGTTGTATGTGTTATGGTTTTCTGAATCACCTTGATATATGAATTTTTACAACCTTCTCAGGCGATTCACCTTTTTTCGTGTTCATTGGAGACTCACAAGTGTAGGATTACTAATGGATTATTCCTCGGCTATATATGTTATTGTTCCGAAGGCAGTGATATTTCAACACCCAGAACTTTCTTATGTTCTCCTGCTTTAATTGTCTTATATAGTAAAACTAAGTGAACGGTAGCAGAGTACACAATCCGTATTATGCACTCAGATATATTATTGGTACGACAAGTGGTGTAAGTTAAGTGATGAAATTCAAGCCTTTTGTATCTGTTCAGAGCTTCCAGCCACCAATTCACCAAGGTGCAAGTGGTTAAATGACTACACCACTTTCGTTTATCTAGGTGGGTTCATATAGACGCAGAAACTCACACAAAAGTGCATTGATTGAGCTGCTACACTCTATAGCAGTATCCAAGGAAGTGGATAAGAAAAGTGATATTGAAGTAGACGAAAGCCTAGGTTGTCCCGCCTTACCGGCAGCTGCTCCCTTCATGTGGTGGTCGGGCTTGCATATCGCCATGATCCAATGAGCTATGCTGGTGGAACGCTTGTTCCTCGAGGTCCTACTATACGAAGATCTGTTAGATAGTGATAAGACAAAAAGGATTTACCGTTGTAGTGTAAATTACTACGCTCTTATGGGGTCTAAGCACGAAGTCGTACTGCTGCTTGCTGGATGGGGTGTGACAGCAGTATGGTGTTTCCCTTGGATGACCAACAGTGCCACGTTGATGCTTTCTTGTCGACGGGACGGCGGTTGGTTAGAAAAGGTCGACTCCAACAATCACACACTTCAACCTACCCTACGGTCTTCTGGTGCCGGGGGTATGGGCTCTTCCTATCCGGCGTTCGAGAAACCAAACCTGAAAACATCCTACATCCTACAGTTTTCATGCAGATATCCCATGGGTTCTGTAGTGAAACAAATGTTTTTCTAGAGTTTCTGGAGTAACAGTTTGAACTGTGATCACGTGTTGATGTGGTCTTGGGTTTCTAACCAGTATGTGACAGCCCTCATTAGTATGTCAGGATATCAGTCGTACGTTGGTCTCAGGTAGCGTATCGCATTGGTTCATTTTGATACACATTGCTCACCTCCACGTCGAGTCAGCACGTATCGGTCTGCTAAATTTAACATGCTTGGTTTTGCTTTTCGTATATCAGTCTACTTGAATGCTGTCGACTAGGTTTGCTGTTGCTAACTAACCCGTAATGTCAGTATGATAAATGACCGTCGACTAGGGTTTGTTTAGGTCACGCAGCGACTCGTTCAGTCCTAAGCTGTCACTGTGAAATGTGATCATCAAAAGGTGGAAGGTCACATATTTGGCCACGGTTGGCTGTGCAGCATATCTCGTGTGTATGATAAAACAACCGTAGGAGCGATGGGGAAGTTTGTTGAGCAGTCTTAAGTAGCTATATCGATGAGGTGGTTAGAGTATGTGTTTCGCATATTGTCCTGCCACTAACCCTGGTGTTCAAACTTAGCTGAAGTGGAATTCTTTTTGAAGAAATACTGCGAGTAGACAGATTAATATTTAACGCCCAACTATTTAGTCTCTATCTGTTCATCTGATGGGGTTGTTGGTATATGTGCTGTCTCTGGTTTTGAGGTCTTCTGAACAATTGAAATCGATGACTGTATTTTGACTTGGACTTTTACGAAGTGATTCCAAATCTTCCTAATGTTTACAATGACTGACTAATAAAGGTAACGAATCATTTATCCATGGATGGATTTCAGCTAATTGGACCTGCGCTTTCCTTACTGTGGAACTCTATGGGACAATTTCATTGTACACCAGCGCAATGTGAATAGATTATGAGTTACTAGCGGAATTGTGTATCAAAGTATTAACCATCGCCTATCAAGCGTATTGCATATCGAAGTTCTAATTAGTGTCTAAATGTTGTCCAAAGGTGTATAATAGTTTGGTGTTTTTTTTAACTTACTGAATTAGGTTCAACTGTTGAAAGTGTATCAAACAAGCAAAAAGAGGAATCAGTTCATGCAGAAGATAGTTCCAAAGTAGTCACATCAAATACCCCTGATGTTGTTGCTGTTGTTAATGAAGATGAATCTAAACAGTCTTGTTCAGGTGGTGGTAACAATGAAGTCAGTACTACAGAAGTAGTATCCCCAAATGAAACTGAATCCGTTGAAGAAGGTGAGGCTAAAGATGATGATACTTACGGTGAAGATAGTGAAGAAAATGATGGTGTACTTGAAGAATCCTCTAGTGATGAAAATGATGCAGATAATTCACATGAAACAGTAATGAGTTCAAATCAACAAAGACAAAAGAAACGTCATAGTGGTTCAGAATCGAAATCTAAAGTACAAAAAGCTTCCACATCGTCAAGCTCTAATCGTATTGTAAAGGGTGAAGGCAGAAGGCGGCACGTTGAAGTTCTGTCTACTGATACTTTACTTCCTACATCGACTGAGTAAGTTGGCATGAATAAAAGGGAGTTGGATTTATACACTTTATCTCACACTGAGTAGTTGCTGCGCTTATCATTTATTATTATTATTATTATTATTATTATTACTACCGTAATTATCGTTATTACTATTATTATCATTACTGCCATTGTTACCGCTATTATCATTGTTTATGGTAATTTGGTTGGTTGTGGCTAGCAGAAGAATTCAAGACGCGCGTCTCGTCCTATTTGGGACTCGTTAGCTGAATGTACCTTCACCCCAGTGCGGAGTGATGTTGCTCCCACTGAGAGACTCGAACCTTGTACCTGTCACTTCAGATGCTAAGGTGTTATTCATTATATTACGGAGGGATGATGGCCACTTCTTGTACAGTGGGTAGTAGTTATTACTATTTATTGATATACTTGTAATTCTCCGTTGTTTTATTGGATCGAATTGTTCGACCTCTATTGGCAGCCAACCAAATTACCATAAATAACATTCAGGCAATATCGAGGAATCCTTATGGAAGCCAATATGCCAATAGAGGTGGAACAATTCTATCCAATAAAACAATGGAGAATTGCAAATATATCAATAAATAGTAATATCATTACTGTTATCACTACTGTCATTATTACCATTATTATTACGGCTGCCATTATTATTCTTACTATCGTTATTGCCATTATCAATATTATTATTACCACCACTATTATTAGTATTATTACTGTTGTTATTACCATTGTCATTACGAATACCACTATTATTAATATGATCACTATTGTTATTATTGTGACCGTAGTTATTACCATTATTATTACTACCATTACTACTGTTATTATCATTGTTGTTACCACTATCATGATTATTACCACCATTACTATCATTATTGCCAGTATCATTATTACTGTTACTACCATTACTTTTATCGCCATTGATGTTATTACTATTACTATCATTATCATTGTGATTATGATTACTATTATCAGCGTTATTATTGTAAATACTATTATCATTATCGCTGTTATCATTATCATTACCATTAATATTGTTAATACCATTCTCATCACCGTTATTATTGTCACTGTTGCCATTATTATTAGTAATATTATTTATTACCATTACTACTACTATTACTCTCATTACATTATTATTACTACTATCGTATTATTACTACCAGTACTACTACTATCATTATTATCGCCATTATTACTATTATCATTAAATTTTCTTAGGTTTGAACATGAACGTGGAGCACTTTTGCCTACACCAGTGGATGTGGATAGACGGCATCCAAAATTTCGTAATTCTGGTGATCTTTCATTGTTTCCTACAACGCCTCATATTCCTAATGTTTTAGAGGCTGCAGCAATTATGTCAGGTCTATGTCCATCTTTATTTCCATCTGTAAATCCATCTGTAAATTTATTGAATACACTAAGATGTCCTCCTAATCCTCTTGATTTTGCTCCACCTTTTTGTGATTTATTCAATTTGCCTAATCCACTTGAAATTCAAAAACAGATTAATAGTTTAAAGTTGAACTCACATCCATTACCAGACGACTCCTCTGAATCTAAATCTAAGTTGAAATCTGGACGAAGTAAACAAGAAAGTTTGAAAGTGAAAAGTGGTGGTGATATCAGAGACATACGTTGCTCTGCATATAAACACTATAATTCAAAATCTCAACGAAAGCAAGATGATTCATCTGAGTCTGAGAGTCATAGTTCCTCAGGTTCTGATTATCATGCTAGTGTTGTGGTGCGTAAATCTGCTAATAGGTAAGCGATATATATATATATATATATATATATATATATATATATATATATATATATATATATATGAATTGATTTTTGTTTTCATTTCCATGTTAGCCAGTGTATCACGTGTAGTCATTCAGAATTTCTTCTGTGTACTTTGTTCTACTTAGTATTTCCTTGTAGATCTTCTGTTCCTCATTATACTGTCATTCCTTTGTCACTTTCATACTTTTTATGCGAATGCAAACGATTAAAGCTCGTTTTTTTGGTCGGGTATTATTGTGGTTTTGAGTGTAAGCTGATTTCTCCAATCCCCCCCCACACCCGGCCAGTGGACTGTGGCTCATTGGTTTTAGACATTCGATTTCTAGCCGATGAGTAACAGTTTCTAAACTAACTACACCTATCGCGGTTTCGACGCTTAGGTAGTAGTAGTATCATTATTCACCCTCATACATTAGGTGTGGCTCATTGGCTATTACGCGAATATACATTAGGCTATTGTGAGTGGATTTCGGTTTTTCTCTCAATTTTCTTTACAGAGATATCTAAATTTACTGAAGTTAAGGCTTTGTTTCATTTTGTGCTTCAGCGTCCATTTTTGGCCAGAGGAAGAGGTAGTATTCGAACACACACACATACACACACACACACACATTGAATCTTGTAGTCCAATAGATAGTGGTGTTACAAATCTGACTGAAAATAAAGCAATAACTGTAGCTCATTGCGTACTGGACGAACGTGAACAGGGTTATACTGAGTTAGTACGAGCACGTATATGCCTGCGTCTCAATGGACGTAGAAAAAATTTGGCAACAAAACCACTACGAGTTCTGCTGGACAACGAAAACACCAAAGCCGTGTTCAGTGAGAAGTTGGCTAGGCAGTTATCGGAACAAAAGACTGTCACTCATCCAGAAGAAGCTTGGTGCCATCTTCAGTCTGTTGTAAAAGCAGCACTGAAGACTGTAGCCGACTCCAAAATAATGGCTAAAAAGAGCCAGTGGATATCAACAGCTTCTTCCAAACTAATGGATGCACGTGAACTTAAAAATAGACTGAGGAAAAGTCTGCGCAACGATCGTGAACAGTGGTGGGCAGCAAAGGCTAAAGAGATGGAAAAGGCAGCGGCGATCGGTAACAGTAGACAGTTATTTAGACTTATTAAGGAGACTGGGGGGAAATGGTCAACAACAGTTAGTGAGGTTATAGCGGAGAAGGACGGATCGGCGATTCACTCGCAGGGAAGGCGACTGGGACGATGGGCAGAACACTTTGAGGAACAGTTTAACTGGCCTCCAGCCACCATTGCGCTGCCCGCTATCCAGTCGGACCCTGAATGGGACATAGAGACAGGTCCCCCAACACTAGAAGAAGTTGAGAAAGCGGTAGGTAGCCTGAAACGGGGAAGGGCAGCAGGACCAGACGGACTACCTGCTGAGGTATACAAGAATGGTGGTAGAGTTCTCTTAGTCAGGCTAACGGAAGTGTTAGCCAGTATATGGGAATCAAATACGATCCCCTCCGACTGGTCTAAGTCACTCATCATCCCAGTCTTCAAGAAAGGCGAGAAGTCCTCTTGTGATAACCACAGAGGAATCAGCCTGACAAACATAGTGTCTAAGATCCTAAGTTCTATAATTCTCCGACGCCTGAGTGGAGCTCGGGAACAGCAAGCCCGAGAAAACCAGGCAGGCTTTAGACCTGGCCGTGGATGTATCGACCAAATATTCACACTGCGCCAGGTCCTGGAACATAGGCATGCTTACAGACGCCCGACAATAGCTGTATTTCTCGACCTGAAGGCGGCATTTGACTCCGTTGATCGAGAAGTCTTATGGCAGTGTCTGTCACTGAAAGGCGTGCCTAGTAAGTACATCACCTTATTGAAAGCTCTCTACTCGAACACTTGTGGGCATGTTAGAGCCTATGGTGAGTTGTCCAGGGAGCTATACTCATCAAGTGGTGTCCGTCAAGGATGCCCACTATCCCCATTCTTATTTAATTTTATCATAGATATTCTTATGGAGGTTTCCCTCTCGTCACCTAATTACAAAGACGTTGACCGGATCACAGGTGAATTTTCCTTAGATCTAGAATATGCAGATGACATAGTCCTGTTAGGTGAAGACGCTGACAAGATGCAGAGTCTTCTGAACACTTTGAGTGGGAATTTGAGAATGTTTGGGATGCGATTTTCACCACCCAAATGCAAATTTTTGCTCCAGGACTGGTCTTCAGCGGTACCGCGGTTAACAATAGAGAGTGAAGTGGTTGAGTGTGTTGACCACTTCACTTACCTGGGAAGTAGGATCAACCCGGTGGGTTAGTTGCCGATGAGATTTCTGCACGGATACAAAAGGCTCGATTGGCTTTTGCCAATTTGCGCCACCTATGGCGCCGCCGTGATATTCGTTTGTCTATTAAGGGTCGCGTGTACTGCACAGCAGTCCGCTCTGTTCTACTGTATGGCTGTGAAACATGGCCATTGAAAGTGGAAGACATGAGAAGGTTACAGGTATTTGACCACCGTTGCCTTCGTAGTATAGGACGTATTCCGTGGTGTCACCATGTGAGTAATGCAGAAGTTAGGTGTAGAGTTTTAGGGAGAAGAGGTAAGTCAGTCGACGAGGTTGTGAACCTTCATCGACTGAGATGGTTGGGACACGTACTACGTATGCCTAGTCACCGATTGCCTCGTCACACAATGTTGGCTGAGGTGGGTTCAGGCTGGAAAAAGGCCCGAGGTGGCCAGACTAAAACATGGCACCAATGTATGAAGTCTCTGACTGTAGGTTGGAGTGGTTGGGGTCCACGGGACAAGAGGAACCAGTGGTTGGAGACCCTAGGTGATATGGCTCAGAACCGAAGTCAGTGGCGCAGATGTATACACACATTATCCTCATCTTAACAACGCTATACCGAATCTCACTATTTTGTCACTCCTCTTTCCTTTCTTCTCATACTTTATATTTCTTTTGACTGCATTCACTTATCTTCATCCTTCACCTCACTACCTTTTTACTTGATGTGCTGATATGAGGTGTGGCAACTCGGACCGTTACGCAGTAATGCCTGGTCCTATGTTGATAATGATGATGATGATGATGAGTAGATTTCATTTATTGCTTCCATTCATCCGTTTAGACCAACCTAGGACCAGGCATTACTGCGTAACGGTCCAAATTGCCACACCTCACATCAGTACCTCAAGTAACAAAGCAGTGAGGCTCAAGATGAAGATAAGAGAATGCAGTCAAAAGAAATATAAAATACTAAAAGAGAGAAAGGAATAATGAGAAAAAGTGGTGGGATTCGGTATAGCGTCGTTAAGATGAGGATAATGTATGTCTGTGTATACATCTGCGCTTCTGACATCGGTTCTGAGCCATATCACCTAGAGTTTCCAACCACTGGTTTATCTTGTCCTGTGACCCCAACCACCTAGTCTACATCGCGCCACATGGCTAAAACCAACAGTCGAAGACTTCATACATTGGTGCCATGTTTTATTCTGGCCATCTCGGGCCTTTTTCCAGCCTGGTTGTTTCATATTTTAGTGTGGACATTGAAGACCCCGGTGTGTAGTTTGGAGCGTAGTTTAAGGATACCAGGGACGCCGTTCTGTGGATTCAGATCGTTGTTGAAGGCTTCAGAGCTAGGAGAAATTGATGATGTAGCATCGTTAGTTGAGAGACGTGAAAGAAGATTAGAACGTAATGATGAGGGAGGTGGATAGCAGTCTGAAGAAACTTGAGTACTGACAGAATTGTGAGGGCGGTTGACACTTCCCGGCTGTCCACACCGTGGAAGGCTATTTCTTCTTAAGGCACCTGAAAGAGATTGGTGTGACTGCAGAGCTCATCGGACATCTACCTGAAGCCTATCACACGAAGCCTTTTGTGTATGCTTGTTTTGAACTTTTGTTTTGGGGCCGGATGGTTGAAAAGAAACGACAAATGAACCAACACCGCCTGCCCGACAGACTGTAGAGTATGGTGGAGTGTGTCATTTTAGTGGACGACCTTTTTTAACCCCCCGCCCCCTTCCACTGAGAAGGCAGTATCAGCATGACTCTGCTGGTCATCCAAGGGAAACACCTTACTGCTGTCACATCCCATCCAGCTAGCAGCAGTACAACTTCATCCTAAGACCCCCATCATTGTGTTTTAATTTAGGATGTATTAAGTATACTATAATGAGGATAATCAGTTTGTAGATGATGTGTGATGATGATAAGGTTTGAAGGTGGATTGGAAATCTTGGTCCCAGTAGAATTTGAACCATCAATCACAACCAAGTTTGCCACCTGGTACTCTACCAACTGACCTACAAGATCCAACCGCTCATCAGATTTTCACTTCACTTCAATTCTCAACAGCTAAAATTGAAGGCGAATACTCAATTCGTCGGGAAATTACTATTATAACAGAACTACTATCCAAGTATATTAATTGATAGCTACTAGCCTATTATCGACAAACAATAAATATATCTTATCCTTGGTAAACCTAATACTTCTTGAGTAAATAAAATAGGCGATTGTACTGTCTGATCAGTCCAGTGTGTTTGTGAAAAATGCTAACTGATGACATGAGTTCAGTCTTAAATTACTTCACAAGATCAAAAATGACTGAGAGGGTAAGCACAATGCAGGACTCAACAACTGCTTAAAGCTTCGTAACATACTGTAACTCGAATAAAAAAAACCTACCAACTGTAGACTTTCATGTCTGCATATGTATAAGGACTCGCTAGGATAGATTTTAAAGGATATATTGCATTTTCTTGATAGTGTGTGTGTGTCTATGTGTATTATTGTTTAAATGTAAAAGGTGTATCAGTAATGGCCTTTCTACAAACGCTTGACACATTATACAAACTTTAAGTATAAAAAAACATTCAATTATCCCAGTTGATTTTTGTTTACCTTTTTAGACCATTACCTTCAGAAAAGTGTCTAATTAATGGACCAAAAAGTAAACATTCAGGGAAATATTCATCAAGTCGGAAAGTCAAAGAGAGGATAAGAAAAGATGAAGTAGTTTCAGGTGAACAAGTATTCCCCGTAGAGGTGGTAAATATATATCTCCTGATAATATAACCAATCCTTCAGAAACGAATTGTAACAAGCCTGTTTCACGAGTCCCACGAGGTCCACGAACACCATCTAGTCCACCATTATCCTCTCAAGATGAAGATGACTCTGTTGGTACTTATTCACACTATGATTTATCTCGTGAATCCTGCTCTAGAAGTGCTCCGAATAAAACACGTCGTCAGAATGAAATAACCACTTCCATATCAGGTCATTGTTTAACATCATCGAATTCCGATGAACATTCATCTACGCGGAGACCTACAGTGTGTACAAATCTCCAATCAACTAGCAACAGGTCTTCTAAACCTCGTTCTTCAAACCATCCGAATACTAGAGGACTACGTGCTCGAGAATCCCGTAGCTCTAATTGTTCCAGATCATCATCTTCTGAATCTACTTCTCGATCGGGTTCTTGTGAAGCATCAAACATCAATAGTACTTCAGTTGAGAAAAAATCTAGGAACAGAAGTGCTTATCGCCATGATATTACACATTCCAATGTTGGTAATTCCTATGAAAATACTTCACCAAATCAATCGTCACAGTTCACACATTTCCGTAGGGAGGATACTGGTGATAGCAGCGATAGTTCGGTAAGCATTTTCTCTGTTATTGATTTTTTTCTGAGGGGGAAACAATATTTCTGGTCCACTGTTGAGTTGAGGTCGGTAGACAATATATCGGACAGTGTTTCTCTCTGTCTGGAATTTATGCTCGCTAAGAACAAACGGTTGGTTGTTTGAGCACAGGTGTGACAAATGATCACCGTTGTTTGTTCTTTCCGCTGAGATTCTGAGAGTACTGTCTTTGAGCCTAGCGTACCCTACCCTCCTATTACAACCTCACCTGATCGTACTAGACTAGACAGTTTTCGGTAGAACTCATCCAAACTGCAGTCAGTGGGTGCATTAGCATAGAATATGAAGAGAAAACAACGAGTGTTACTTCCTTTTTTTCATCACTGTGCTGTTGGGAAACACATCAAAACAATTTCGAAGTTTAACATATGAGGACTGGTCGGTCAGTACAGACTATCTAATTAACTGATCCAGCTACATTTTTGATGTGTATTCTTGAATAGCATTACTATTGGATTGGTCTTTAACAGTGCCACGGTTAACAATAGAGAGTGTAGTGGTTGAGTGTATCGACCAATTCACTTCACTTACCTGGGAAGTAGCTCCAACCCTGTCCTGGTGGCTCACTGGCCGACGAAATTTCTGCACCAATACGAAAGGCTTGACTGGCTTCTGCCAGCTCACGCCACCTATGGCGCCACCACCATGCCTGATTGTCTATTAAGGGTCGCGTGTACTGCATAACAGTCCACTCTATTCTACTCTATGACTGTGAAACATGTCCATTGAAGGTGGAAGACATGAGAAGACTTCAAGTGTTTCACCACCATCACCTTTGTAGCACAGACTGTGTTTCCTGGTGTCACCACGTTAGTAACGCAGATGTCAGGTGTAGAGTTCTGGGGAGAAGAGGTAGGTCGGTTGACGAGGTTGTGAACCTTCATGGACTGAGATGGCTGGCTGCGACATGTGTTATGTATGCCTAGTCACCGTCTGCCTCGTCACACAGTGTTGATCGAAGTAGTTTCAGGCTAGAAAAAGCCTCGAGGTGGTCAGACTAAAACATGGGATCAGTGTATGAGGTGTTTGACTGTTAGTTTTAGCCATGTGGCGCGATGAAGACTAGGTGGTTGGGGTCCACAGGACAAGATAAACCAGTGGTTGGAAACTCTAGGTGATATGGCTCAGAACCGATGTCAGAGGCGCGGATGTATACACAGACATACATTATCCTCATCTTAACGACGCTATACCGAATCCCACCACTTTTTCTCATTATTCCTTTCTCTCTTTTAGTACTTTATATTTCTTTTGACTGCATTCTCTTATCTTCATCTTGAGCCTCACTGCTTTGTTACTTGAGGTACTGATATGAGGTGTGACAATTTGGACCGTTACGCAGTAATGCCTGGTCTTATGTTGATAAATGATGATGATGCGATTGGAAAATGGTTGCACTGTGAGTGATGTCAAACTGGGAAATTTACAAATTGTTTATTATTTTTATAGTTTAATTTTTGATATGTAAATCAACTAGTTATTTGGATTAGTTATGAGTAGGTTACAGGTTTTGGATCATAATACTAGCTAGCTAGCGTATGGTGAAATCACTATCTGAGTAGTGTAGAGGTCAGACGAAGGGTATTAGGCAAGATAGGCAAACCAGTCGATGACACTGTGAACCTTGAGCGACTAAGGCGGCTTAGACATACGTTTCCATGTAGAGCCACTATTTACCTCGATGTGGCATGCTAAGGGAAGTTAGATTAGGTTGAAAGAGAGTTCAGAATGACTAAACCAAGATATGGCACCAATCGATGAAGTGTCTGTCTTCTGGTGTGAGCCATGTAAAGAGAGGTTAGAATATCTATTTGGGACGTCCCAGACGAAAGAAATCAGTGTTTGAGGACTATTTGGTGACAATAACACAGATGTATTCGCTCTTCGATATTTTTCGAAGCTTCAATATTTTCACCAACCTTCATATCTTTAAACTCTCTCTCTCCTCCTATGCACCTTTATGTACTTTGATATCACTCTTTTTCTACCCACTTGTTCTTTCTATCCTGCTGTGAATATGGCAACTTGAGATGATGCACTTGTATGCGAGGTTCTGCGTTGACTTTGTCTGTCGGTGATAGGAACCGTTAGTTTCCCATGTAAAGTACAATGAGTTCCTCGCGCAAGACAAAGGAAGCTGATCTTCGGTTGGATAGTTTTGTGTCTCTGATGTGTGTATATGTACAAAAGACCTTTTTGGCATTTGCCAGCCGACTGGCGAGATAACCGACTGTCTATCAAAGGGCGAGTACGCTACACTATAGTTCATTCTGTCCTGTTGTACGACTGTGAAGCTTTTGAAAGTAGACGATGCGAAGCAATTACGGGGTTTCGAACATAGATGTCTTCGTGACAGTACTGGCGTTTGGTGAAATCACTATGTGAGTAATGGTGAGGTCAACCGAAGGGTATAGGGCAACATAGGCCGATAAGTCGATTGAGATGGCTTTGACATGTACTGCGCACGCCAAATCACCATCGCCTACCTTGGTGTGCCATGGTAGTGGAGCCGCATTAGGTTGTAAGAAGGTTCAGGGTGACCAGATCAAGATGTGGCAGAAGTTGATGAAGTATCTTTCTGTTGGTCTGTGTTGTTTTGGGAGATATAGACTGCGCGGTTGGTGTACTCGAGGTGAAAGAAATCAATGATTGTGGACTCTTGATAAAAATGGCTGAAACTCGGTCTTAGTGACGAAGATGCATTCACTCCTTGCCTATCTACCTGTTCTTTGTCTACTACTGTGAATTATGGCGATTTCAGATGATGCACTTGTATGCGAGGTTCTACGTTGATTTTATTCATCAGTCAGTCAGTCAGTTATCACTTTAAACTGATGCAGTAAACCAGTTTTCAGTTACCTGAAAAATTAAAGTTTCTTTTGTGTCTTCATTCACAGATGACTGGCATGGTTTTGAATATATAACGCTTATACATAATGAGTTGATAAATGCATTTCGTATCCATCGTTTTAATAGGCTGTATGATAAGAATTATTTGAGAAGCGTCTGAATAGCGATCAAAAGCCAGTGGCACTCAGCAATTTAGTATGGTCATCTTATGTGCTTACTAAGCTATGAACTGAATTCAGTGTGTGTGTATGCGTTGAGCGCCAGGGATCGAAGCCAGCGCCTTCAGATTCCGTAGTCAGTAGCACATTTCTGTTGAGCCGTTGGGTTGGAATCCAATGGTCCATATTTCCAACTTCCGTCAGTTCATCACATAGCGCAACCATCACTCAATGTCATCCTTGAGTATTTGTCCTCACGGCCACCAGGTTTGTATGACCGGTCACTGCCTTCTTATTGAAATTTCAGCGATCACCTCTTGCATTTATATTTGTATTTTGTATTTAGTATTCGATAACATATCTTTCATGTATATTCAATTATAAAATCAACTTATTCCAATAGGATCAGAGGAGTCGTGCACTACCTGCAGCTTATGCAAATCCTCATCACACCGATCGACATTCATCACATTCATCTGATGATAATCAACCTCCACCAGCAGTACCTTCACCGCGTAGTTCGTCATGTTCGTCCTCATCATCATCTCGTTCATACCGCCACATTCGCTCTAGTTCTAGTATTCCTCCAGAAGATAACAAATCACAAAATATAAGCAGATCTCCCTCTACATGTCGTTCGTCATCATCTCAGTCACAACGTGTAGCAGGATCTGCTTCATTGAACTCACGCCGACAAGGTTTCAAACCGAACTCGAAATTAAATAACAGTGATGATCGTAATCGGAAATCCCGATCAACAAAAGAAAGAAACAAATTGTCTGCATCTATCTGTGGTAGAAGTTCTGATTCTGGTGATGATGATGATGATGATAATGTGAGAGAAAGATTGGATCCAGCTAGAAGTTATCGTAAATCCTCATCAAATCTTAAGGACATATCTTCTGAAGAATCGTCTACTTTAAGACGTGGAGATGGTGATTGTTCTGCTGTTTCTGAAGACGAAAGTTCTTCGACTGATAATCGAAGTGCTCATCGGCAATCCTCAAACTCTCGTTCCCGCACCCGTTCTCGTTCTCCATCCTCCTCTTCATCTAACACTTCTTCAAGAAGCACTGATCGTAGCTATTCGAATCGCAGGAACAGAAGAAGTTATGTAGATTCAAAGCGCAAACCATGTACTCCTGATTCTTCTTTCTCGGATGCTCGTAAATATGGACGCACTAAGGATAGGAGATATGACCACACGGTTGAAGAAAAACATTTTACCGCCAACCGTAAGCGAGCTCTTCTCTCCCCGCCAACAAATACTAAACCGCAGAATAAAATGTGGGGGTCAAGAAAAACTTATGGAGAAGAGGTGTCTAGCCTACCGTCTCGTCATCCTCAACTTTCTAATTCACACCACCCACTGAATAAAAACACCTTTCACGGACAGACCACTTCAAAGACATCAGGGTAAGTATAGTTTACTAGTGCTGCATTATGCTTAATCAAAACGAAGAATCTAGTTTCTCACACACAACAGGGTTTTTCAAAGCATAATAACCAATTTTCGTTTGTGATTTTGTTAAAACTCGCTTTTTCGACCTGTTTGCGAGTCCAAATGGTCACAATTTTGAATGTGATCCAGGAGAAGATTCCTTTGAAAATCTTTCCAAATAGAAATCAAATCATTTCGGAGGTTTTATATTCGTTATGGACTGGTTGACATCGGTTGGAGAACCGTTGCAAGCCTGGAAGCACTAGACCATGAGACTCGTCAGCAGTGCACACCCCGGAGATCGAACCCAAGACCTACAGGTTCGATGACCAGCACGTTACCATTGAGCCAATGGTGTCCATATTACCTACATCCATCAGTTGCTGTCGTTGAGTAAATACCCTCATGTTCAACAGGAGTAGAAAATTATGAACCATTCAATTCCAACTCAGTGGCTCAATGATGAAATGCTGGCCGTGGAACATGAAGGCCCTAAAGTTTGATTCATACGGGGACCTGGTCATGGTTCCATACTACTGAGGCGTACCAAACTAGAACGAAACGGCTGCTCAGTGCTTTAACGTTTCCGTTTGTTTCTCCAACTGATGTCAATTAGTTCAGTAATAAAAGTACTGGATACACAGACTTTCTACTGCATTCTATACTTCATTTGAACTTTGAAATGTTTAGACCAAAATCTGGTTTCATTACAACAGTACTACGCACGAGTCACGTGAAGTTTGAATCAATTTGGATTCATGTTGTGTGGTCCTTTGTTCTCTTATTTTCTCACCAAGTTTTTTTATTTTGAAGAAACAGAACAATCCGATATGAAAAGATTTTATGCTGAAACGTTTATTCAAATAAGTACGTGTAACATGTTCGTCATTTTAGATAAGGATATAAATGTATTTTTTGCTGTAGCGTTTCCTTTATTGGCGCGGTTTTTCCAACAAACTAGTCTTGCTACTTACAGGATATTCAGTAGTACGAGTGTTTTAGTAAAATTATTTTGTTTACATGATGTGAACATCGTGTTGTGGGTTAGAGTTGAGTTTCAACCAGTGAGTCGTCGCGGGTTCGAAAATCACTCCACCTAGTGAAGTTAGAGGACCCAGCTAGTATCATTAGCCCTCACACAATAGGTGTAGCTTATTGCCTACTGCACAATAGTGCACAAGGTTGCTTCGGCGCTTAAAGCAATGAGTACTAGGGTTGAGTCTCCTCAGTGGGGTCAAGATCACTCACTGATGTGATGTGCACATACATCCAACTGACGAGTCTCAAATAGGACGAAATGCGCGTCCTAGGTTTCACTGCGGATCACCTGGATGAATGCAACGGGATGTGTGGTTACAAGTATTTTGATAGGATGAGAGGTAAACAATACAGTATATATATATATATATATATATATATATATATATATATATATATATATATATATATATATATATATGGTAGGATTAAAACCAGTTAAGTCGTCACCAACCTTTTTTGGTTAATCTCCCACAAATCCTCTTTTAATGTTAATTATATCAAGGAAGTGTGTGTATAACTGAACCCTGTCAATGACTTCACCTTTTTACTGATCAAATCATTGATGATAAATTGAATGATGGCAGTATTTGTTCCTTATTGTCCTCCTCCTCCTCTTCATCCGCCTTCATTATATATTGATTTTAATGTTTTCAGTCGTACCATGATTCAAAAAAATCGAAGAGAAGAAGAAAGTTCATCCTGGTCAACAGCGACAACAACAACAAAAGCTGCAGCACACGAACGTCGTCGTCCACAAGATGAACTACATCAACACTATGGTGGATCTTTTAAGGCTCGTACTATGTACAGTGATATGATTGATAATCCATCCAGACTAAAATCGCGATATAAACATTCAACTAACAACAACCACAGTGATAATTGTAAAGATGTTAATGGCATTCGACAGAATTACACTACTAGAGATTATACTGCTAAACAATCACATATCAAGCCTAATATACACGATTCTAAACTTCATTGGTCTAAAAGTGGGAATACACGGGATTTTCGTCAGCCTATTGGTAACTCTCCAAGTCGTTCGCCTATCCAAAGACCAAGAAAACAGATTGCAACAACGTCAAACAGTAGTCATCATCACCAACAACAACAGCGGCGTACACACAAGGGGCAATCAGATATTGTCTGGGAACCCGGTCCTAAAGGTGTCAAAAAGGTGAAGAGGTATCCCAGTAGAGTTTCTAGTTCCAAGGCTCTTTTGAAGACACCTAGAGAAGAGTCGCGACGTGTGGATCGTCGAAGTCAACGTGAATCTACCAGAGGCTCTGAAACACAGAACACTGGATCTTCAAGTAGTTCATCGGTAAGTAAATCAGTTTTTCATTCTCAGTATATGAGTGAATATTCGTGTCATCTAGTTTCTTTTCTGTTGTCTAGTTTATTTTATCGTTCATAGTATTATGAAAATATTTGGAGATTTTACGTACAGAAAATCTCAAGTTATCCTATATGTCGAAATATATTGGTACTTGAACAAAATGGTTAGTTAGAAACTATTCATACCGATGAGTAGATTTCGCCAACTAGTCAGATCAGAGTGATGTAAACATCGAACGGCCGTTTCGATCGTTTCAGGTTGGGTTCAACCCTTGAGGAGTGGGGTCATGGGTGCGCACTGCAGAGCCTCAAATTCAATTGATCTAGTGCTCATAGGTTACTAGCTTCGAGAGGTGATTCCTGAAGTTCCAATGAGAAGTCGTGACTGGTCGCGCAAACCTTGGTTGGTGGAGACTCCAGTTGATATGGCACCAATGTCAGTGGCACACATGTATCCACACACATTATCATCATCATCGCATTACTATTTTATACTCCTACTTTCTTCATCTTCCATTTGCCCCCACACACAATAAGTGTGGCTCTTTACCCAATTGTCTGGTATATATATATATATATATATATATATATATATATATATATATATATATAGTTGCTAGGTTCGTTTTGATTTTCGCTTGAACTTCTTTTTATTCACTCTACTTGTGTTTGTAAGACGTATCCCACAATAACAAGGTTGACTGTTTTCAATTCGTTAGAAGTGGTTTTACTCCTGAATTGTCTGTTAGAAAATGAAGTCCCTGAGAAGCTTGCTAGTATATTGGTGGCATCGTAGTTCACAGTCGCCGATCTCCGTTGTTCCAAACCACTAGAAGGGGGCTAGGCAAGACCCCGATTTCACTATCCCTCTATAACTTTTCCATCGATGACAGTCTAGTCTGCGTGGTGGTGAGGTTCAAAAAGTTTCGACCTCGGGTATGCGGAGGATATTGTTTTTCTGTGTGACAACATACAAGCTTCTCTAATGACACTCAATCGGTTGGTGATCACTGTCCGTAAGCGCGATATGTCCTTTACACTATAAAAGTGCTAAGTAAGATTGGTAGGTCACCTTTGGTCCTGTGGTGATGTTAACCTTGCGTTTTCGAAATCCGTCGTCACCGTAGGATTGTCCGCAACTGCTGGGGAAAAAAATGTAAATAATTTTACGATGAAGGAGTGTGTGTTTGAGAGTGATGGGGATCGCAATTTGTCGAATATGGTTATCTTGAAGCATCGACCACATTGATTTTAGTGTATCATGTATGTCCCCCACTAGCTCCTTCTACACAGCCCACTCGTCGCTTTCTCTGTGACTGGTTAAAATAAGTGAAGAAAGATGGTCAGTTTATGAGTTGACACCGTGGAATGCAAGATAATTATGTTCGGTTAGCACCTGTTTGTGTTGCATGACTTTGTGAATGGGATCTGAGAGATCATGTGCCTTAGTAGTAGTTTGAGACGATAACAGACAACAGCTCAGAATTGAATCCATTCTTGTTAACACTTCTACTGAAAAGTTGAAGTCAAGTAAAGTAGTGAATACTTCTTCTAGTGTTTCTTTAAAGTTGCTTCTTTGATAACCAACCGACTTCTGTCAATACTTCCATTCTCTCTTCCGTTTCCTACCTTTTCGCTACATTATTTCGCATGGCGTATTTACCAATTTCTATGTTCTATGAGGTTTGTATTCTAATAATACCATACATAAATAACAGTTAAGAGAAATAGCTTTTCTTGCAACACTATAGGAGAACACTAAGTAACTTTATTTTTATAGACTAACATTCTTTTTGGACGAATTAAGTGTCTTGTATAATATATAATTGAAGATTTATCTAAGATGTAAGATAGTTTCCTGTTAAAGCTACTCGTAATGTTTTCTTCCTAATTAACCATTTGTCTTCGAGCTATCAGTAAACGATCCTACCTAATACAACTGGCTTGTAATTGGTATGTTATTTTTGTGTTCAAACACGCTAAACAGTAATAATATTTCCACCTTTTTCAAAGAACTAAATTTAGTCTATCCTAATAGTGACGATGATGATGATGATGATGGTGCGGTCATCAATACACATCGATTAGCGTTTACTGTTTTTGTCCACTGACCAATTTTCGATTTGTTTCCAATGTCTGATCGGTTATTATCCATTGATTATATTTGGTTTGTATGGTTATTCATGCGTGTGCATACGCTCATGGAAGTGTTTCCCTTCCCCTCCCTTCCCCTCCTCTTATGACCAAAGTGTACTAGCGTGTCTCCGTGTGTGTGCGCGCGCGTGTGTGTAGGTCTTTCCTTCTTTTTCCATCACATATCCTTCGTTATATTCTATCTCGCTACAGCTGAACACAAAAGTTGTGCTAATTTCAATGAAATATATTATATCACAGATTGGAAAAGGGAATTGAATCGCTGTACCAATTTTCAACTTACTTTCTTAAACCGCCTACGATATGCTATTTTCGGATCACTGGATTGGTAGTTTTTCTGGGAGACTGTATCTACTGACGCGGGTATTGTACATGCGTGCACGCTCGTCCGTCTCTCTATGTGTATATGTGTATGTATGTATCAACTCAATCAACGTGGTCTGTTTGCTTTTATCTTACGTTCACCCTATGGCCTGTGTGCAGTTTCTTTCCTTTCGTGAATATCTATCTCTCTGGGATAAAGTTTATTTACCTATCCGATCAACAATATTTTGCACATCCTAGTGTAAATATCTTATTATCTGTTCGAATTCTCCACATCGTTAAAAATTTGTTCTCCTGCTGTCTGTCTGTCTGTCTGTCTGCCTGTCTCTCTCTCTCTCTCTGTGTTACCGTCATTATCTCTTTATGATTGATTATATCAAAGATGCCTTTGTTTCATTGTGATGTCTCTCTAGTGTGTTATCATTTCATTTCATTGTTCATATGCGTTGAAGTTGTTGAATGAATTTCGGATTTGATAAATTTATTACTATTACAATTACTTTATCAATTCAATTGTAATTTCACCTTCCAACTGGGTCAAAAAACAAGTAATCCGGTTCGACCTACACATCGAGGTCAACCGTCAATTTCTTTGTCAACTTCACAATCACAATCATCAAATTTCAATAAGTCTATAGACAACTTAGAGAGGGAGTTACCAGTTGTAACGTGTTCATCGCCTCCTCCTCTTCCTTCTTATAAATTATCAAATTCTAGACATATATGCAACATTATTTCGTCTGCAACAACAACAACAACAACAACAACATCGACTTTCGAATCTTCTACATTTGTGCCAAAAGTTACTACTGTTGTTGCATCTATTGAATCGTTAAGTTGTGATCAAACTCATTCATCTGTATGCTTACAACATTTGATACCGAAGTGTTATTTTCTTCCTGTTGCTATATGTACATCATCATTAAGTAATTCAAAGTTGAATTATATTTCTTCATCAATTCAATTCAAGCAATTTGATTCCTTTCAACATACATCTAATCAGTTAGGTACCATTAATACATGTTTATTAGTTGCACTAAATTTAACATTCACAGAGGAGGAGATCAGTCTACTTATTATTACACAATCAGTTCATTATGTTCTAGTTGTGTTTACAGATTGTATAAGTTATCATTACTGTAAGACTGTTGAAAAATTTATTCATTCATTTATCTATTTATCAGATTATAATCTAAACTCTGTGATAAGTTTATCGAATAGTATTTCAACCTTTCCTATTAGCCTATTGTATCTTCAAACTTCATCACAGGTGAACTCTTTTACAAAGCCTCTTACTCGAGATTCTATAAATAACAATTCTCATCTGAATTATTACTTTGATTACCAGCATTCATTTCTATTACACTCCACTGTTAATCAGTTAGATTTGATGCATTCTGTGAAAACTAATCAAAATTCAACTATCATGTCAACTTCTTCTGCGACTCGTCCACCAAGAATTCCAACCAATCCAAGCTTAACATCTTCCACTGTTCGTAATACTTCTAACAGTCATGTGAATGATAGTTTCAGTCGATTACGAGTTGGAAGTGCAGCATCAAGAGAGTCTTCATATTCTCCACCAGCTGATCGTAAACCTGTGACTACACGTCGAGCAATAAAACCTGTATACGGTGTAAAAGCTGATGAGGTGAATGCAGCTCTTTTGCGTAAACTTGAAAAAGCTACCTCTAGTTTTAATCATCAAGATTTTGAAGATGATGTTGGCGGTGCATCTTCAGATAATGATGTATTTGATACAGAAAATGGATGTACTATAAACAAAGAGGAGGTGGAGGATGAAAGCATTATTCTATTGGCCACTTCATCATCTCTTTTATCTCCAGACTCATCTGTGTACGGGAATGAAGCTGGAGCTGGAGATCTGTTACCGACATCGTCTTCATCAGTTAAATCTCCTGTGAATCAACTACTTAAAGCACTTACTTCTGGCAGTCGATTAGTTACATTGAAGCCTATTTCAAAGCATAAACTTTATCAAAAACATCGTATTCCAACAGCAACCATAGCTACGCAAACAAATGATATTCGCCTTATTTGTGAACGCTGTTCCAATTCTTTCATATTGGATTCAGAACAAGCACCATCATCGTCCACTTCACTAACAACTCACAAAGCAGATGAACATCAACAACCAACTTTATATAAACTCAGTCTATTCACCGGATTAATTGAATATATGCCTTTCTTGATACCCTTATCTCGTGGTATTCCACTAAGACGTATGCGTTCGACAACAGCTAGTGGTGGTGTATCATCGGCTTTCAATGCAAACTCATCAAGATTTCGATGGCCAATAGATGGTGAAATAGTTGATTGTGCTGAAACTCTACCAGACCATCCAATTGCAGTTTTTACTGTTTGTATTATTTGTGATGGGTATACTGCAACAAATGCTAGATTTAGCAAGAAAATTGAATGTTTCAATCTTCCATCTAAGGCATCTGTGGTCATCTGTGGTCCATTTACCATGATGAAGTTTGCAGTCAATATGAAATTTAATAATCAACAGAAAAAAATGGATCATTTCAATGGATCAGTGAATAAAAAGATCTTGGATCATAGTACTGATAATACTATCAACAATGAAGTTGAAGAGGTGGATAAAGCCAACAATAATAATGATGATGATGATTCAGAGTGTGAGACAGTAGGTCGACGCCTACGTCGACAGCTTCGTCGTACACAGAAAACACAAGAGATTAATGCAGCTACTGTTGCCTCTGCTATGCGACAGAATGCAATGGATAGCTGTCCTGTGTATGCACAACAAGAAAATCATATAGGAGCTTCTGATATTGGTATGCCTGTTAGCTCTGGTCCTACTATTACTACTACTAGTGTTACTGGTAATGGTGTTAGTGATAATACTTCTACGATTATTAATAATAATAATAATAATGGCATTACTAAACTGGCTACCAACGATTTATCAACACAAAATAGTCAAGATCAAGTTACATCTAGGCTTGCTGTCGCTAGACAACGCGCCAAGCGATTCATTGAGCTTAGGAAACTTAGTGTAACTGAAAGTTTGAATGAAAATTTGCTGAGACAAGAGTCGGAGGTGAATTTATTTCGCTTGAGTTTTTGTATTGTGTCGATATTATTATTATTATTATTATTATTATTATTATTATTATTATTATTATTATTATTTACTGAGGAGTAGTTTGATGTCGATGTAGCCTTACTCTAGAAGACGGCAGTTAATGAGGTGATGCTTACGCATTAGATGCGTAGGCGTTTACCTTTTCATCTGACTAACTGTCTGATTGTATTATTCACCGTTGTTTACCTTTATCGTTGTGGATAGATATTTTATTAAAGTTTTCTTGTCCCTTATCTGCTTTTCTATGATATTAGTCAGTCACATTTTGATACAGTATGAAGTTAATTTTGCTTATGAGCTGTTGATAAATAAGATATGTGAAACACAGTGTTTAAGATGTGAGATATGATAGTTGTAGATATTGTTTATGATTTAGTGTCACGTTCATAGAAGCTCTAAAATGTGCCATTAAAAAAAATAATCTCGGAACTTAACGAAACATGTTCAGTGAATGAGTTGCTAAGACTTTTCAGTGATTATTAACCGTCTAGTAAAGAGTTAAATTCAACGTTCCACTTCCTAGACATAATAATTGAAGAGAAGAGATGATGGCTTGATTCAAAGATCAGTGTCTATCGTAAACCAATATGGAGTGGTCAGTTCACTAACTTTCATAGTTGGGTACCTCTTAGTTGTAAAAGAGAAATCTTATTCACTCACTGAATGTTCAGAAGACTTGGTGGATGTTTAAATTGAAACTTTTAGAAGAACAATATTGAATAATGGAATACCCAAGAAAAGATTTATTGATAGAAATGTAAAGAAACAAATCTCCCCTCATCCTGTTCCTTTTTCCTAAGAAAATCTGAAATTAAAAGGAGACACCATAACTGATGTACTGAAAAGTCATCTGTCACGATGTATCAATAGCAGCTTTTATGCTGCTGGACTGAGATTGACTTTCTCCAGTCATCGTCTGATTCAACAATTCCTAAAGGATAGGCTATCACTTATGTCCATATCTATGTGTATATCTACAAATTCACATACTCCTGTAGAACTGGCTGTAGTGGACGTTGTAAGCGGGCCCTACGAAAACGTGTTGCTGAACATTACACGGTTTGTATTACGAAAGATGAGCGAAGGAAAACGACTTCATCCATATGTAAACATCTAGTAGAGATAGGTCATTCAGCACCTCGAGATTTATCCTTTATAGTAATTTACAAGGTTAAATTGAACTACTTCAAAGGTCTACGTTTCCACTACCTATGCATGGATAGCTGAAGGATTAGCTATACATGAACAAAAACTGCATTGTAAAATGTTTTGTGAAACTAATTTCTCTATATTGGCCTCAATCGTTCTTTTTGGTTGCATTCGTGAATTTCATTTCATTTTACTGTGGTATGCTTCTCTTTTGTTATCAGCATTATGACCATTTTTCACTGACTGATAGCATTTGACCCATTTTATATGCTTCAGTTAAATAATCATCTTTCCAAGATTATTTCTTTAAGTGATCCATTTTTGCTCTTTGTCATAAAGATATTACAAGTTGTTATTCATCATAGACTGACATCAGTTGGAGGAATGAAGGAAACCTTGAAGCACTGGAAAGCTGTCTCGTCCTAATATGGGACTCCTCAGCAGTGGGCACCACAGAGCACGACCTTAAGGTTCTGTGGCCAGCACGTTACACTGAGCCTCTGGGTCAGAATCCAATCGTCCATATTTCCAACTTCTGTTAGCTCACGATGTAGCGCAACCGCCACCCAATGTGATCGTTGAGTAACTGTCCTGACGACCATCAGGCTTTGCCCCCACCGGTCACGACATAGTGTAGACGACTCCATTTCGACTCCATCTATCTGTCTGATTATAAATTACATGCTTAAATCTGAATTGTACACTAAATGTACATTTTCATACCAGTTGTTTTAGGTGGCTTGTAGGTAAATCAGTGTTAATATTATTAGAACCAATGTCATCACATAGATAACAAACAGTTTCAACAAGTGGAACATTAGTAAGTAAAGAACAAAGATGAAGCGATATCATACACTTAACCGTTACATTGATTTCTTCGATGCAGCGAACGAAACCAAATGTATCGGGAAGACTATATTCATAAGAAGCGACAATCTGAATGAAGAATTTTCTTTTCAATAAATCCTGTATTCAGGTTCTACAATTATTATAACATGCATTTGTACAGTGTAAAACCAAGCCATGTTAGGGATAGGTATATTTTCAAAAGAGAGTGGAATTTAGGGGCTGAAAGAAAATCTTTTTTTAAATTTTTCAATATTGGGATGATGCGTAATACGGAATGAATGATATGATGGTGATGAAGAAAAAGATAACGAATAAGATGACAGGAGTGGCCTTTAGTTTGCTGAAGGTCAAGGGAGAAGTAACACTTAGACATGTTGTTTATGTATGCAGAGTTCAGGCTTGATCAATCTTATTGCAACAGCTTCTGCTATGTTGGCAGGCAACATGTATTATCATTTTTGGAATTAGCATCTATGTGATGACTTGTGTTTGTGTCAACTAGATGCACTAGGACTGAACTTCTCACCACTTTTATTTCTGTCTTTCGGAATCAAGTTGGTAAATGCTATCATATCCGGTGACGCATCTGCCTAATCGTACGCCTTATGTATGTAGTTCCACAGGAACAGTTAAATTGCACAGATTTGATCTCATAGGTTCAAGAAGTTTAGCGAGCCACTTCGTCAATGAGTGGATAAAGTGAATTAAGCATATCCAGTACTGGTCGAAGAAGAAGACCATTTTATGCACCTTCGGTAGACCATATAAATGAGGTATGTTTGAATTTAGATTGTTTAAGCTGTTCATGCATTATCTGGGTAATTAAGGATTCTTCTTTCAATTTACTTAAGAATTTTGATATTTCATTCTCAATATCTTGTAGTTTATCCTTTTGATTCCTGGATTTTTGAAATTTATTATCATGGCTAATAACTAAGCAAAAGTGATCCAAAACCATGATACAAGTATAATATTCCTCTTGTTGGCTAGTTAGTTCTTTCAGTTGTATTTTGTGCTCTTTGGATTATGTATACCTTGTTGTCGACAGTTGTTTGTCAGTATTTGTCCCTTATATTTCATCACTTGTTATCAAATTGTCCCTTGTTATTGGTGGCTCATTTTCTATTTCCTTCCCCTTGAATAAATCCTACCATCAATACCTATTGTATATTGCCTAAGCAACTCTTTTTAGTGGAATTGTCTATTGTGATAATGATTATAAATACGACAGCTTGTACATCTTGAGATAATGAAGTCGTTGAAAAAAAAGAAATATCTCTTCTTCTCTGATATATATCATGTCCTTATTCACAGAAGGTCAGATAAAAACAATTCATTATGTGGACTATTAGACGATGGCCTAGCAGAACTGTCTCGTGATAACATAACTACTTCTATCTTTCTGTTAATTTGTTTGAGAATCGGACAATTTTCATATTTAATGTCCATGGAATACGTGTAAATACTGAAAGTCGGTATGTCTGTGCGTTGAATTTTAAACTGACCATATTACGCCTTTCCTATTGTAGGATCAAGGGTCAGTGTACTCGGTTTCATAACACTTTTCCAATTGTATTTTTATCAGTGTTAACATTTGCTCAAAGTTTTATAAAACGGTCGACTTCTGCGACACCATCCTGTGTATATGTGTTTATGTGTTAAACTGTTTAGGCAAGCTTAAAGTTATTGTTTATGATATGCTTTTCGTATTCTTCCCTCCCTCCGTGTTCCTACTCCCCATAGTCTGCTGAAGAGGATGATGATGAAGTTGTAGATGATGTCGATGGACACCTTATCTACAGTATTGGCGATAGAATATTGAATAGATGTAAGTTATATTTTTATGATATTTTAAAAAAAATAACCATTGTCAGTCATCAGTTTGCTTCACCATGATTGATTGCATGTACTATGACCTTGAGAAAAATAATTTTTTTTCTTTCGGGTAACCATTATCGTTTGAAATGGTTTGCACATGCACTTCACATAACCAACCCTCGTCTATCTCGACGTCCTGTGCTAAGAGAAGTTGTATTAAGTTGGAAAAGTGTTCAAGGTGATTAGACCAAGACGCGACACAAGTCAATGAAGTTCCTGACTTAGGTCTCTGAGATGATAAGGATCAGCGATTGAAGAGTCGTGGTAACATGGATAAAAACCGGTCAGAATGACGCAAACATAACTTTGTCTACTTCGATATCAATACTTTTCCTATCCACCCTCAGTGTTTGCAAGAACTGGCGTGGAATCACGCTCCTGTCCACCCCAAGCAAATATTAAGCCGCATCATCTTGGAGAGACTAAAGGATGCACTGGATTCAAAACTACCACCGGAACAGGCCGGCTGGATTCAGGAAGTACAAATCATGCGCCGACCAAATTGCAACACCACTCTACGCATCATCATAGAACAGAGTATAGAATGGCAGTCAACTCTACACCTCAACTTCATTGACTTTGAAAAGGGCTGCAACAGCGTCGACCGAGAGGTAATCTGGCAGTTGCTTCAGCACTACGGAATACCACAAACCATTATCAGCCTCATTCAACGACTATATGAAGATGCCACATGCTAAGTAATTCACAATGGGAAGCTCAGTGATGTATTTGAAGTGAAGTGAAGACAGGAGTAAAACAAGGCTGTTTACTATCACCCATGATATTCCTGATTGTGGTCGACTAGACTGGATCATGCAACAAACAGTGAGGAGCAAGAAGAGAGGGATACGCTGGACCGCGGAAAAGAACCTAGAAGATCTGGATTTCGCCGATGAGTGGTGTCTGATGTCACGCAAACTGGAAGATCTACAGGTGAAAACTAACAAGTTGAGAGAAGAGGCAGGGTAGGGCAGCGAAGACGAGACTTCAAGTGAATATAGAGAAGACGTAGGTGATAAGGATACCCAACCAACACCACCACCACCAACAAGCTCTAATCACCATGAACGGGAGAAACTTAAAGGAAGTAACCTCCCTCACCTATCTTTGCAGCACTGTTTCAACTACAGGAGGCGGCACAGACGAGAATGTCAAAGTCAGAATCGGAAAGACAGCAAGATAGGCTTTCATTAACCTGAAACCAGTGTGGAGATCTTCTGCACTCAGCATAAAGAACAAGATTCAGATTTTCAACACCAATCCAGTCAAGTCAGTGCTTCTGTATGGTTCAGAGACTTGGCGCGTTACGAAAGGAATTTCTAACAAACTACAGACATTCATCAACAACTGCCTACTCTGTCTCATTACTCAAGATCAGATGGCCAGAAATAATAAGCAACAAGGAACTCTGGAAACGAATCAACCAAGAACCTGTCGCTCAATAAATATGCGCTGGAAGGAAGTGGAAATGGATTGGGCATACACTAAGTAGGCACTAAGTAGGGACATCACGCATCAGGCCAGTTGCTCGAGTGGAACCCCTATAGGAAACGACGAGTTGGGTGTCCAAGCGGAGGATGACATGGAGGAGATAGTGCGAGGAGAAAATGAGAGCTTGTGGGCAGTCATGGAGCCAGGTTCAAAAGATTTTAGAGAACAGAGTTCACTGGAGACGTGCTACTGAATCCCCATGTTCCATTAGGAACCTGAGGGAGAAATAATAATAATAACAACAGTAATAATAATAATAACAATAATAATAATAATAATAATAATAATAGTGTGACAACTTGTGTTCGACATTCCAGTTTGATTTTTCGCTAATGTGATGGTGTGCTCCTAAGCAAAGCAAATGTTTTTGATTTTCATAACTGTTAGCAGTTTATTATATTCTATTTTTCAATAGACTGGACAAGATAAGTTTCTGTTCATTCTATCCTTTTATGTATCTATCCAGGTGTGTTGTACACCTCAAAAAGGTGTTTTTTCTAGTGAATCTTGAACACAAGTAACCTACGGTATACATTTAAAACCTCATCCTTTGTTATCCATGTATAAAATTGATGCAGTTTCTTCACTGAGATGTTGGTATTAATCTGATTATTATTCTTTGTCCCTTGGATTCCTAGTGGAACATAGGGCTTCAGTAACGTCACTATTCCACTCTTTTCTCTAAAGTCTTTTGGACTTGCCTCCACGACTGCCCAGAAACTTTCATTTCTTCCTCACATGATCTCCTTCATGTCACCTTCGCCTCGGAAACCCAACTTGTCGTTCCCCCCTTGGATTCCATTCGAGGGCCTGCCCTGGAGCGTGATGTCTCCGAATGGTTTTCTCAGTGTATGCCCAATAGAATCCATCTCCACTTTTTGCTTCTGCAAATTTGTTGGACGATGGGTTCTTGTTTGGTTGGTTGGTTGTCAGGCCAGAGCTCTTTTTTGCTTATTCTTTCCGACCATCCATCTGACTTTCAGTATGGAGTGAGCGTAGGCGTCAGCTGTTGATACTGTATATCTGTGCTTTGATGGGAATGCTTTTCGTGACACGCCAAGTCTCTCAGTCATCACATAGAAGCACTGACTTGACGTTGGTGTTGAAAATCTGGATCTTATTGTTTGTGCTGAGTGCAGTGCAGCTCAGTAGATCTCCATATTGATTTCAGAACAATGCAGGAAGGCCTGTCTTGCTGTCTTTCTGTTCCTGGCTTTGACGTCCTCATCTGTGTTGCCACCGCCTGTAGTTGAAACGATGCTGCCTAGGCAGGTAGGTGGAAGAGACAATTTCTTTTCGATTTCTTCCGTTCATGATGATTGGTGTTTGTTATTGTTGGTTGAATATCTTCATCACTTCTGTCTTCTCTAATTGATCCTATGGTATCGATTAATTTCCTTTATCTTTTCATTCCATTACTAGATGAAATCGTTAAAACTCTAGGAGAAGGTACTTTTGGAAAAGTTGTTGAATGTAAAGATCATGCGCAGTAAGTTGTAAATTTACCGCATTTGTTTTCGTGTTTTCAGTAAATATGAATGCTGCATAAAACCTGAGGCTGATTTGAACTACTATGCATCTAAGCGTTTTATTATTATTATTATCATTATTATTATTATTATTATGATTATTTTGTCCCTTGGGTTCCTAGTAGAACATAGGGCTTCAGTAACACGCCTCTATTGCACTCTCTCCCTGCAGTCTTTTGGACCTGGCTCCACGACTGCCCACAAGCTTTCATTTCTTCCTCCATGTTACCCTCGGACACCTAACTTGTCGTTTCCCCTTTGGATTCCACTCGAGGCCTGTCCTGGAGCGTGATGTCTCCGAATAGTTTTCTCAGTGTTATGCCCAATCGAATCCATCTCCACTTTCTGCTTCTGCATACTTGTGGAACGATGTGTTCTTGGTTGGTTCGTCGTCAGCCAGCCAGAGTTCCTTCTTGCTTATCCTTATTATTCTGGCCACCTCATCTGATTTTTAGTATGGAGTGAGTGTAGGCGTCAACTGTTGATAATGTATATCTGTACTTTGATGGGAATGCTTTTCGTGACACGCCAAGTCTCTCAGTCATCACATAGAAGCACTGACTTGACGTTGGTGTTGAAAATGCGGATCTTTTTCTTTACAGTGAGTGCAGTGCAGTAGATCTCCACAGATTAATGAGGGTGTATATTGCTGTCTTACTGATCCTGGCTTCGACATCGTCATCTGTCCTTGTGACGCCTGCAGTTGAAACAATGCTGCCTAGGCAGGTAGGTAGGTGAAAGAGATAACATCGTCTAGATTTCTCCCGTTGATAGTGATTGGTGCTTGTTGTTGTTGGTTAGGTGTTTTCATCACCTGTATCTTCTCTACGTTCACCTGAAGGGAGTCCCGTCTTCGCTGCCTCACCTCACCTCTTCTGCCAACTTGTTAGTTTTCGCCCTTACATCTTTGAGTTTGTGCGACATTAGACATAAATCATATTTGGGGGGATACAAATCTTCTGGGGTCTTTACATTTGTCCAGCCAGAGTATGCCTATCTTCTCGCTCCTCACAGTTTCTCGCATAATTCAGTCGACCACAATCAGGAGGATCACCGGTGATGTTAGGCCACTTTATCTTACTCCTGTCCTCGCTTCAAAGGTATCACTGAGCCTTCCATTGTGAATCACTTGGCATATAGTATCGTCATATTACCATAAAATAATTTGCCTTTCTCATATTCCATCTTTTATTGGCTGTGTTCAAGTAGTTTCGGCTGAACAGGTTCTACGTGTTTAGTGTTTTATTGTCCAGTACTTTGTGGATTTATTTCGGCTTCATACTGATTTTTCTTTATGAGTTTGCAGTTGGATGCTTTCAAGCCACAAATGCCCAGCTTAGTTTCATTTTGTTAATCATGAGAACAAATACTGATGAGTCATATACTAGCACGAAACAGGTGTCCAGCGCTCATAGGGTTTTCTTAAGTTCTTCAACTGAAGTCAGTCAGTTACTCTGTGATGGATATCAGCCTGGAATGAATACATTCTGTATCACACCTTATTCATATATCATTGTAATTTATTTTACCTTCCCCCACCGTTTTTCTTTTCTTTTTTACACAGAAATCGTCGTATCGCTTTGAAAATTATCAAAAATGTAGATAAATATCGTGAAGCTGCAATGCTTGAAATAAATGTACTAAATTTCTTGAATGAACGTAGCACCAATGTTGAACAGTAAGTAGCGCAGTTGCAGTAGTAGTAGTAATGTTGGATTATTGATCATTTCCACTTCATAAATTATTATTTCATCAATTGTGTTAATATATTCTCTTACTGGTAAAGAAGTAAATAATCATTTAGTTGAAGAGGATTCAGTTCGCATTACAATGAAGCTGTGATTTATTCATTTGAATGATTGAATTTCCATTCAGTAAATAGGTCCCATATACATCGCTGTATCGGTTGTTGTTGTTATGTTTGTATAATCAGCTGTGTCGCACAGCGAATCAAAATCCACTCGTTTAAGGCTTCATGGAGGAATTCATTTGATAGGATCCATCAGTGCTCAACTTTTGCATATTGGTGTTATTCTGGGTGATTTTTTCTTCACTAAAAGACCTTTCAGGGATCAATTTATTATTATTATTATTATTATTATTATTATTATTATTATTATTATTATTATGTACCTACCATTTCTGCTATTCAATATCTTTTCTAATCACTTAGCTTAATGATTCTTTCATTGCTAATGTAATTATAGAAGGTAGAGATGAATAGTCTATTCCGTTGGTGGAATTATGTCTGATTGATCAAAGTACTCGGCTTTCAACCAAAAAAGGCTATACGTTTGAGTCCCCCTCCTCCTTCACACAGTACATGAGGGTTGACTGTCTAATGTAGGAACATGCTTGTGATTACTGATTATCTCATTTACAGCTTAGAATAACTCTCTTTTCTCCTGATAGCTGATAGGCTGGTGAATAGATTAAACAACGAAAATCACCTAAAAAAGTACTGAAGTTTAAGTTGTCACATTTTGGAGCCATGGTTCATTGGTTTTTTACGGAGACGAATTTCAGCCGATGTACCAAGGGTTCGAAACCCGCTCCATCTGTTGAGGTGGTTTGGGCAGTCAGGTGCTAGTAGTAGTGATAATATCATTAGCCATGTTTTAGTCTGACCATCTCCTTTTTCCAACCTAAGCCTACTTAAGTAAAGGTTATGAGACCTGGTGGATGGTGGCTAGGCTTACGTTACACATGTCTCTGGTTGACTTGGAGTATCCTGAAGACATTATAAGATGCTGACAAAGTACAGGGTCTTGTTAATGCGTTAACCAGAAATCTGAGTATGTTTTGGATGCATTTCGCTGGCACCTCAAGACTTGTCTGTTGTGTCAACCACTTCAGTTAATTGAAGAGTCACAAAAGGCTCGGTTAGCACTTACCAACATGCGTTTCATGTGGCGCCTATTGGCGAAATATCTGAATATCTATCAAAGGACTGTGCTACAGTTCGTATTGTCCTGTTATACGGCTGCGCAACATGGCCGATGAAAGTAGAAGACATGATCATCTCCAAGATCAACATTGGACCAGGCATTGCTGCGTAACGGCCCGAATTCTCACACCTCATCTCACACGACCACACCAACTAACAAGGCAATGAAGTGGAAGAGGAAGAAAAAAAGAGAAATCAGCCAAAGGGCATAGAAGTAGGAAGTAGTAAAAGAGTAGAAAGAGGAGTGAAATGATGAGGTTAAGTGTAGTGGTTAAGAGGAGGGTAATGTGTGTGTATGTGTGTGTGGATACATCTGCGCCACTGACCTCGGTCCTGACCCATAATATTGCCTAGAGTCTCCAACAACTACTGCTTTCTTATTTCCTGCGGATCCCAACCGGCTAGTCTACATCGACAGTCAGGAACTTCATGTATAGTTGCCATGTTTTAGTCTGATCGCCCGAAGCTTTTTTCCAACCTGAATGTACCATGAACAACATTATGTGGCGAGGTAGACGACGACTATACATACGTAACACATGTCTCAGCGAGCCATCTCAATCTCTGATGGGTCACAACCGCACCAACTGACTTAACTCTACTGCCTAGAACTGTACACATAACTTTTGCACTACTCACATGGTGACACTACAAAACACGGCGTATGCTGCGAAGACAGCGGTGATCAAACACCTGAAGCCTTCTCATGTCTTCTACCTTTAATGTCTATGTTTCACAGGCACAGAGTAGAACAGAGGGAAATACACCACACTACACTTAATCCTTAATAGACAATTGGATATCGCGGTGGCGACACAGAGTAAGTTGGCAAGAGCTAAACAAGCCTTTTGTACCGGTGCAGAGATTTCGTTAGCCACTGACCAACGCACCAGACTGATCTAACTTCTCAGGTAAGTGAAATATTCAACGTAGTCAACCATTTAACTCTTTATTTTTAGTCGAAGTAGTATCGAAGACCAGTCCTGGAGGAATAATTTCCACTTAGGTGGTGAGGAATGCATCCCAAACATTCTCGAATCGCAACCCAAGGTGTCCAGAAGACTCTGCATATTGTCAACGTCTTCACTCAATTGGACTATGCCGTCTGTGTATTCTAGGTCTACCGAAATTTCTGTGTTCAGATGACGAGAAGGGAATCTGACAAGTGCATCGATTGATGAGGTTGTAAACCTAAGCCTACTGACATGTCATGCACATGTACTGAAACCGATGTTTATATTTGCAAGGTTCTACGTTGATTTTGTCTCTCTGTCTGTTTGTTAACAGTACTACTCAACACTCTCTCTTTCTCTTTCTATCTCTCGTTTTCTCTATATTTACTGAATCTGTTTTGTTATAAGTATTTGTAAGTGAATAGATATCTCCATTATTTGTGCTTATTGTAAACTTTCTTTATCATTTCCTTCGTTGCATAACACTACATTAAGTTTACCGCAGTCATCCCACTCCCTCGGCGTATACTTGTCAATACTTTCTCATATATATATATATATATATATATATATATATATATATATATATATATATATATATATAAGAACAGATTGGCCTTATTACTGTCATGATTGTTATTATATTAGCTACATTAGTGATTGATATCGTTGATATGCAGTTAATCCATATTTCCTTCGTTTGCTTCCTTTTGATTCCCCTCCCTACCACCCTTCTTGCGCGCGCGCGCACGCACGCCATTATGGTTGTCATGTATTCAGTTTATGTGTAACCTTATTGGATTGGTTCGACTATCATGGGCATATATGTTTGGCATTTGATATTCTTGGATTATCAGTATTCGATTTCTTGGTAAGTTGAAGTTTCTCCTTAGTTTATAATTCTGTGTTGTTATTATTATTTCACCTTTGTTTTTTTTGTTCCACTCTGTGCACGTGCCTTTTATCTCGGTAGTATCCTTGACAAAAGAAAGGTATATTCTGTGTGTGTGTGTGTGTTTGCGTAATATTTTAATTGCCAGTAGAAAGAGAATACTTCCATCACGCCGTCTTCCTAATTATCTTCTATCTCATGTGATTTAGTCTTTGTTTGTGGTAGCAGCAGTATTGATGTGGCAGTTCTACAGTTAGTGTGGCATGGTGTATGATGTTCTATTTAGTGTGTGTATGCGTGTGTGTTCATCTGAAGCACATACGCTTATTGTACACCATCCTATATTGGTGGTTAGTGTTGTGTCCCACTAGAATGCTATGAATTTCCATTTTCGATCCTTATCCACTAGTGTTGTTCATCTACTGAAAGTGATATGCTTGTATGATTATTGTTTGCATCATACACCATCTCTTCTTTGTTTCATTATGACCATGTTTCTCTTGTTTTGCCAATGTCCCGTATATAGGACACTTTAGCTTAGAACAACCACAACGATAATAATAATGGTGAAATATCGTAATTTTAAGAAAAGTAAAAGTTTGTGGATATGTAAATATGGAATAGTTTTTTGTTGATTACACAATTGTAGAAAGGTTATTGTTAGCTAGCTGTGTGTTGTACTTTTATTCGAATTGGCTTTATTCACTCACTGACAGATTTACAAATGAAATCTCTGTCTATTGTGTACCATTTACGAAATTGCCCGAGAAATATCCGACTATCTATTAAGCAACAGTTATACTGCACTACTGCTGTCCATTTTATCCTGTTATATACAACTCTGAGACATGGCCATTAAAAGTAGAAGTTGTTACATGTTTCTGATCACAGTTGTTTTCTTAGCATAACTATGTTAGCGATGTTGTGGTCAAGGGAAAGATACTTGCTACGCTGAAGGAAGGTTAGATTAGGTTGAAAGATGGTTTGAGGTGACCAGACGATGAAGTCGCTTACTGTTCGCATGAACCGTGTGGAGAGATGTAGACTGCCTGACAGGAATCCCCTAAACATCAGGAATCAATGGTTCTGGACTCTTGGTGAAATGGCTGAAACTCGGTCTTAATGGCGGAGATGTATTCACTCTCTGACGCATTCTAAAGCTTAAATGTTTTGACTAACCTTAATTTTTAAGTATCCTAACCTTCCATACAACGTGCTGGTGGTTAGAAGTGGTTGTTGTGTTGTTCATCGTCTTTGGGTCAGTAGGTTAGTGGATTTCTTTTGGACAATTAGAATATTACAAAGTGACGGTTAACAACAACAATAGTAGTAGTAATGATCCAATCTGGCTTTGTGTATCTATTACAAGCGATCGTATTATTTTATCCAAGATGATTGTAAATACACCCGCTTGTATTATCTAACTAAACTGATTGCATCGTGTATAGAAATTAGTCAAAGATCCTAGATTTCATTTGCTTTCTATTTGCCTTCTGTGAGATAATCATCATTCATCGACATAGGACCAGGCATTACTGTCCTCATCACGGTCCGACTTGCCACACCTCATATCAGTACATCAAGTAAACAAGGCAATGAAGTGGAAGATGAAGATGAAGAAAAGAAAATTCAGTCAAAAGAAATATAAAGTACTAAAAGAGAGAAAGGAAGAATGAGGAAATGGTGAGATTCGGTATAGCGTCGTTAAGATGAGGATAATGTATGTCTGTGTATACATCCGCGCCTCTGACATCGGTTCTGAGCCATATCACCTAGAGTTTCCAACCACTGGTTTATCTTGTCCCGTGGACCCCAACCACCTAGTCTTCATCGCGCCACATGGCTAAAACTAACAGTCAAACACCTCATACACTGATCCCATGTTTTAGTCTGACCACCTCGAGGCTTTTTCTAGCCTGAAACTACTTCGATCAACACTGTGTGACGAGGCAGACGGTGACTAGGCATACATAACACATGTCGCAGCCAGCCATCTCAGTCCATGAAGGTTCACAACCTCGTCAACCGACCTACCTCTTCTCCCCAGAACTCTACACCTGACATCTGCGTTACTAACGTGGTGACACCAGGAAACACAGTCTGTGCTACAAAGGTGATGGTGGTGAAACACTTGAAGTCTTCTCATGTCTTCCACCTTCAATGGACATGTTTCACAGTCATAGAGTAGAATAGAGTGGACTGTTATGCAGTACACGCGACCCTTAATAGACAATCAGGCATGGTGGTGGCGCCATAGGTGGCGTGAGCTGGCAGAAGCCAGTCAAGCCTTTCGTATTGGTGCAGAAATTTCGTCGGCCAGTGAGCCACCAGGACAGGGTTGGAGCTACTTCCCAGGTAAGTGAAGTGAATTGGTCGATACACTCAACCACTACACTCTCTATTGTTAACCGTGGCACTGTTGAAGACCAATCCTGGAGCAACAATTTGCATTTGGGTGATGAGAAACGCATCCCAAATATCCCTGAATTACCACTCAAAGTGTTCAGAAGACACTGGATGTTGTCAGCCTCTTCACTCAACAGGACTATGTCATCTGCATATTCTAGGTGTGACGAAATTCTCCCGCGATTAGGTCAGCATCTGTAATCAGGTGACGAGAGTGAGACTTCTGTAAGAAAATCTATGATAAAATTGAATAAGAATGGAGAGAGTGGACAACATTGACGGACACCGCTCGACTAGTACAGCTCCTTGGACATCTCACCATAGTCTCTAACACCCGCGCAAGTGTTCTAGTAGAGAGCCGTCATCAGGCTGATTCCTCTGTGGTTATCACAATAGGACTTCTCGCCTTTTTAAAGACTGGAATAATCAGTGATTTAGACCAATGAGGGTGGGGGGATCGTATTTGATTTCTATATACTGTGTGACATAGTGGTTCTGAGTCAATCGTGAATTCACTACAAACAACAGTAAACACACTGTAAGCTTCAACGCCTATTTTTGGTGAAAAAGCGTTTTGCAGACTGACTAGATCAAATGAATATATCCACCAACTTGGCTGTAGAATAATAAAGTGTTCCTCGATGTTCGATAGGATTCTGCTCTGAATTGAAGATATCCGTTGATGAGGCTGAGGAGCATGCACTCCTCTTCAGTTACCTTGGAAGTTGGATTAACCCTAGTGCGTTTGTCAGTAGCTGTTGAAATCTTTGCACGCATACAAAAGGCTTGGTTATCTTTTATCAACTTACGTCATCTATTGCACCACCGCCATATCCGATCGTCTATTAAAGGTATTTATAGCTGTGAAACATGGTCATTAAAGGTAGAAGACATGAGAGGACTTGAAGTGTTTCACCATCACTGCCTTGGTAGCATAGACCGTGTTTCGTGGTGTCACCATGTTAGTAACACAGATGTCAGGTGTAGAGTTTTAGGTAGGAGAGGTAAGATAGTTGATGTGGTTGTGAACGTTCAAAGACTGAGATGGCTAGCTGCAGCATGTGTTATGTATGCCTAGCCACTGCCCGCCTCGTCACGCAATCTTTACTAAAGTAGGTTCTAGTTGGAAAAAGGCTTGAAGTGACCAGACTTAAACATACTATCCATATGTGAAGTCCTTGACTGTTGGTTTGACCTGTGTAGGGTAATGGAGTCTGAGGAATAACAGAAACCAGTAGTTATTGTATACTGCAGGTGATATTATGGCTCAGAACCGAGGTCAGTGGAGCAGATGTATTGACACACACACATACGCACATTATCCTCCTCTTAGTCTCTCATACTTTACCTCATCATCTCATTCCTCCCTCCTTTTTACTATTTTCGACTTCTAATTCTTTTAATCAACTTTTCTTTTCTTCTTCATCTCCTATTTTATTGCTTTGTTAGTTGGTGTGGTGGTATGAGATGGTGTGTGGGAATTCGGACTGTTACACAGTATTAACTAGTTCAATATTGATCTTGATGATGATGCTCTGGTAAATTGGAGCGTCTGTATCAAAGATGCTTCCTAGCCACCTCGTAGCTGTGTGTGTGTGTGTGTGTGTGTTACTGTCAGCTTCTGACTTGCTCTTATTTAGAAAATCATTTTACAGTCATGTACGCAATCGGTTCTAGAAATTCTAACTGTATGTTCAACTTTCATTTCGTATCGACGATTATAAAATGGTAACAAGTGTCTTCACTTGTTGGATGTGTACGTTTTATACCCTGTGGCATTATTTTCATCTTTGTTTGTTAATGATTGGTGTGTCTTGTTATATTTCTTACGTGTTGTTAAGCTATAATATATTTTTTCTTTGACTAACGATCGAAAATATTCTCTACTTGAAAACATGACTGGCACAATATATGATTAATTCGTTACGATCTGTGTGTGTGTGTGTGTGTGTGTTATTGAATGTTTCTTTGCTTGTGAGTGCGTGCCTGCTTGACCTGAAAGTACTGATTTCTTCGCTAAATTGAAAGTGGAATCAGCCAATCTATGGCAAACTAACCATGTTATTGATTTATTTTTCACCTTCATTACTCTTTTTCCCTTTCATACACACATTCTAATATGCATTGCTTCTATGTGTGGGTGCATGCGTGCGTGCGCGCACGTGTGTATGTGGATCATTTTCGGTTCCTGTCTTCTTTTCTTTGCTAGACAAAATAGTCATCAAGAAGTCATAAACTTGGAATGTTTATTTTTGAGGTTGTAACTTTTAAAAATCTTCATCATTGGTTAAACTGAATTGATCGGTCGTCATTGAAATTGAAGCTTCTGTATGTGCAGATATCTTCAAATTGTTTGTTGGACAGTGTCTAGAGCACTGGAACGAAGGATGCGCACTCCGTCCAATTTAAGTTTCATTGTCTTCAAGACTCAAATCTTAGAACCAATCGCTTTAGACGCCAAACACTAGGGGGGGGGGAGGTACATGCAGCTGATGATGAGTCCTAAACAGGATTAAACTCGCTTCGTAAACTCCACTGCTAGCCACTATCCATCATTAAGATATTAATTTCTCAAGGCTATTATCGCCGTGTTTTATCATCACCATGAGACTGAACCTCCAACCCATACATTTCGCATAGGTAAAGATGCCGACCATCTGAGGTTAGTTTTTAATGCACACACATAACATAACACATAGGGATATCTGGTAATGATCTTTCGTCAGGTTCTCCTTCGGGAGGCTTGCTACAACTTTTAATCCCTCTAAGTAGTCAAATTAGGTCGTGTTCTTGTCATTAGTCTAGAGGCCAGCGACTTCTTGGACACCAATTCAACGACTTCACTAAACCATTCAATCGGTAGTAGCGACAGGCGGTTGTATGAAAAGGACTATAGGACTTCATTATCATCAGAATTTTATTGTTTGTTGATTTTAGTTAAGTTAGACAGTTTTTGTTATATCTTTATGGGTTGAATGTTTGGCTGATTAGTTCTGGCCTGTAGTATAGGTTTACTATTGGATTCTATGATTAACAACACGAGTTGATCACACTACACTACCATTCACTAACATCACACTGGCTGAGTTATAGAGGAGAAGACGAAAATCGATGTGTGTTCACCCATATAACAGTTTCTTCTAGTTTTCTTAACCTGGTCCAAATATGTATATATACATCAATGTTAGCTGTTCAGTCAGCATATATATGGTCTGTTTAAAATATCAACGTATATATATATCCAGACTAAGTTGTAACACCAATCGATGAAGTCCCGACTGTTGGTCCGAGTCGTGTTGAGTGATGCCGACTGCCTAGGCCAAGGTCCCCGAGACTGATAACACATGGCTGAAAATCTGATTATAGTGGCGCAGATGCTTTCACTTCTTGACATCTTCTGAAGCTTGAATACTCGTACTAACCTTTATCCTTCAATTGTTTATTCTCTCATTCAACTAATCCTATTTTTAAATCACTTTTTCAATCCATTCTTTCTTTGTATACTTCTATGAAGTGTGACAATTTGAGTGGATGCACTCCTATGCAAGGATCTGAGCTGATCAGAAATTGTATAGCACTCACTGCTGTTTTACAATGCTTACAATTATGATGAATAGATAGTATTCATCGCAGATTGATAACCATTGAAAACTTGAAAGGATAAGACAACCGTTTCGTCTTAGAATATGTTTTCTCAGAAGTACACACCAATGACCTTTGACTTTGGTTGAAATCAGAAGTTTTACATTAGACGGTGAACGCATTAAGAAGTTGTGACTTGTTGTATCAACCAGTTGGAAGTCAAGGGAATGCCAACAGAAGATCTTGACGACTAGTTGCACTGTGTCACGAAATAAGGAAACTAGGGCTAGTAAACTCCTACACAATGACTGAATGTTCAATACGTTCGATGAAGAGTCCGATACTTGACGGGGTCTTGCGTTTGTACTACTTGAGTAGTCCCATACTAGGATAAAACAACTAACTGTCCAATGCTCCCAGATTTTCAATTCTCATTAACTTCAAATATGACTGACAGCATTGTAGTGGGCGTTGCTGATAAGAATGGATATAAGTAGTATATGTTGAGAGGGTGGCTGAAATCATAAGGAATTACTAACAATGGGTAAGGATTCCACCAAGAGAAATGCAAGAGACAAGGCAGGTATATGAAGAGCCAAATCATGAAAGAAGCAGAACGGGAAATGAAGCATATTTTGCAAATGACGGTTTTATTGTAAGGTATACCATATTTAACGACTACTGACAATCAACATCCCTTCCTTTGTACTTGTCTTCTTGCTTCTTTCATCATGAATAGCATAACTCAATCATCTCAGCTTACATTTATGATTTGTTGATAACCATTACATTCCTTACTCCTTGACTGGTGTAGTCATTCTCTTCACTTTTTTTCTAGTTGTATATATCTTTTTGTATAACATTCTCAGGATATTGATTGTTTATTTATTGTTCACTACTATTTATAGAAAGAAAATAATTATGTTGGTTATCCAATGGAACATGTTCGTCATATATCCTATCAATTATGTCATGCTGTTCGCTTTCTACACGATAATCAATTAACGCATACAGATTTAAAACCGGAGAATATTCTCTTTGTCGACTCTGATTACATTTCAGTGCATAATAGAAAAAACGACGTCATGAACGTATGGTCAAGTGTTCTGATATACGTCTGATTGATTTTGGTTCAGCGACATTCGATTACGATCATCATTCTACAATTGTATCAACACGACATTATCGTGCACCTGAAGTCATTTTAGGTAGGTTCGTGTGTGTGTGTGTGTGTGTGTGTGTGTGTGTGTGTGTGTGTGTATGATTATTTTGTTGTTAGTTCAAGGGAGAGATGATTTACATCCACGTTCTACAGGCTCAAACCCTTGCTCCACCTACCGAATTGGTTTGAACAAACCAAGTAGTATATAGTAATGTTAGGTTCTGGCTCATTACTGCCTGCTGGAAGAATCTGTACACAAGGTTGATGTGACGTCATTACGCCCATTGTTGATTCATACTTGTAATTTCACTTGGCCATATTGGATTGATGCATCATCATAGAACAGAACATAGAATGACAGTTGCCTCAACTTCATCGACTTTGAAAAGGCCTTCAATCGAGTCGTCGACCGAGAAGTAATTTGGCAGCTGCTTCAACACTACGCTTTTAGTGCCACAAACCTTTATCAACCTCATTCAACAGCACGTATATGCTGTGTGATGATGCTACACCCCAAGTGATTCACAATGGAAAGCTCAGTAATGCATTTGAAGTGGACTGAAGTAACAAGGAACTCTGACCTGGCAGTGAACCAACCAAGAAGCTATCACCCAACGAATATACAGAGGAGAGTGGGGATGGATTGGATTGGGCATACACTAAGATGACCGTTCGGGGACATTTATCACGCCCCAGACCAAACCCTCGAGTTAAACGCAAAGGGGGAAACGATTCGTTGGTTTTCCGAAGGTGGCATGCAGGAGATGATGTGAGGAAGAAATGAAAGGTTATGGGCATTCCTTGAGCCAGGTTAAAAAGACTGCAGAGAAGATAATGAAATGACTGTATGCTACTGAATCCCTATGTTCCAAAAGGACAAATATTAAAACAATGCTATGGATTAAGTCAAGTTTGAAAGTGATCATTTGAATGAAAATGCTTTCATTAGATAATATTCAAATAGTAATGAAGAGGGCACTTTAACTACTCTTTTTTGAGATTGTGAGCTGTCATCGACTGAGGTGGACTGGACATGTGCTGCGTATACGAAGTCAGCGCCTACCTCGATGCGTATTACTAAGTGAAGTTCGGATAGGTTGAAGGAGGGATCAGAATACCTGAACCAATACGTGACACCAGTCGATGCAGTCAGTCTCTGTTTGTTCTGAGCCCTCTAGGGAGGTAAAGACTGAGATCATCGAGACGAATGTAACCAGTGATTCAGGGTTCTTGATGATATGGTGGAATGTATTCACTCTTTGACGTCTTCTAAAGCTTGAATATTCGCACTAACCTTCATCTTCAAATTATTTGTTCTGTCACACAACTTTGTCTACTTTAGTATCAGTCTTATTGTATGTACTTGTTGTTTGTATTGCTTTGTTGCAATGTACATCGATTGGTCACGGGAGAGCAACCAACTGCATTGTATCTGGTCCTGAGTGGAGACCGAGTCCCATTGATCATATTTGCATTGTGGCCGCCAAGCTAGGAGGCTGAGGACCGTGGTGTGCATTGGTAGATGTTAGTTGGTTGGAGGCAATTGACAAGAACCCCTGAACCTAAGTTTCGCGCCCGTTGGCATTCATCAGCAGGATGTATCATCATCCAATGTTGTAGCTAGCCTCATAACCTCTGAGGCTGTTAGGACTTTCGATTGAAAGTTATATTGTACCAAGCTGTGTTCTGTTTTTCTCCAGGCTTGCAGAAAACGAGTTCTATCATAAACTCCTGCATACGCAATCATTTCTGTTCGTAGCCTGCCGCATAACCACCTATGCTGAACTGGGTTATCCACAACCATATGTTCTATTCTTCATAAAGCTATTCATAAGTGATAAATTTCTGTATAGTGAGGATACGCAGAAATTGTGGTCTACTAACTTAGACTTTATCTCTTAACTGCTAACACATGGAGGCAGAGTTCAAAACTTTATTCCGCCTACTATGGTTCAGCATTCCACGTAATACGCATTTGTTTCATTATCCAGAACATATAATTATACATGTGCCTTCCTATGTCAACTTTATTGATACACTAAATTCTTGTCACTCATTATTACAAATGTATGCATATACAATTTGTAAGCTATTCCTATGTCCATTGGGGGATATTTTGTTAAACTGTCACCAAGTGGGGTGGTTAAGCAAGAGAAAGGAGGGGGGGGGGGAAAGATCGGTAGTCATGACATCCTTAAGTAACAAATTTTTGTCACATAAAGAAATTATCCAGTATTTTAGCACTCACCCTTGATGCTGGTTTTAATGATTTCACAGTTCACTGACAATATTAATTTTTTCCGCTTATACTTAGTATTTTGAATGAATTGAAGACAGTTAAACTGGTGGTTATTAATTATGACGAAGTATCTGATTTCCTAAAGTGGTTACACATCACTGAAGGTGACTGTTTAAAATAAGGAGTGTGAGCAGTTGACACTTCCCTGCTGCTCATACCGTAGAAGGTTTTAAAAAATTCTTAATGTACCTGAAGAAGGAAAAGATTTATGTGACCGTGGTACTCATGGGACATCTGCTGAATACCTGTCGCACACGGTCTTTTATGTAGGACACATAAAAACCTCATACCACTGGTACCCGAAAATCGTAGGATAGAGAGGAGTGTGTGTGTGTGTGAGCCTTTCTTAAACCCGTCTCCCACCAGAAAGACACTGCTAATCATCCAAGATAAACACCATATTGTTATCACACTCTTGTTCAGCCATCAGTACGATTTCGCCTTGTGGTCGCCATAATAGCGTAGCGGTAACTATTCGTCGTAGTGTTACCATTATCCAACAGACCTTTCTGACATAGTAGTAAAACAAGCGTTTGTTTCATTAAAAGGGTAATTATCCTTCACATTATATTCAATTATGATGTTTGTATGTGTTTGACCCCCTCCTTTTTTTTGATAAATCTCATAGAATTAGGCTGGTCTCAACCGTGCGATGTTTGGTCAATTGGATGCATTATGTTTGAACTGTACACGGGTTATACGCTTTTTCAGGTAAGCCCGTCTTCCGTGATAACTGTTATATTGTTTTTTATTGAGGAGTACATTCACTTACTTCGCATAGGGATGATAGATCAATATTTAAGCAGTTGTGTGAGTGAGTGAGTGAGTGAGTGAAAACGCTCAGCAGTTAAGAAAGCATTTTACTTGTTTCTTCAGCATATATTCGATCGTTTACAAGCATTCGTGTAACTACAATTTCATTAGAACTTCAGATTTATCTATCTATCTAACGGTTTTATGATCTAGAGATGAAGGCAGTTTTCAAGTGATGTTGAATTCTTAATGTGAATGTTTCTGGAACTTTGGGATTAGGTATTGTAGAATATCTCCAGTTGTTAAGCAGTTGATTAGTGGATACATTTTGAAATGCAGCAATTCATCATCAAGATCAATATCGGACTAGGTATTACTGCGCAACGGTCCAAGTTGGATCCAAGTAACAAGGCAATAAAATGGAAGGCGTTAAAAAAAATACAAAGCCGGTCAAAACGAGTCGGAAGATGAGATTAAGTTTAGCGGTTAAGATAGGGATAATGTGTGTATGGAAACATCCGCGCCGGTGACACCTAGAGTCTCCAACTATCACTGGTTTCTCTTTTTCCCCACGGACTTCATTGTCCTGGTTACCAAACCTGGTTTCAACCAGTTCAAACCAACAGCCACGGACTTCATACATTGATGCCATGTTTTAGTGTGGTCACCTTGAGCCTTTTTCCAGTCTGAACCCACTTCGGCCAACATTGTGTGACGAGGGAGATGGTGGTTAGGCGTACGTAACACATGTCCTAGTCAGCCATCTCAGTCACGGTAGATTCACAACCGCATCAATTATCTTACCTCACCTACCGAAAACCCTTCGTCTGACTTCTGCATTACTCATGTGGTGACACCACAAAACTCGGCCAATACTAGGACGAGACTTGCCAGTGGTCAAACATCTAAAGCCTTCTCATGTCGTCTACCTTTAATGATCATATATCACTTATGAAATAAAACGTTTAAATAGACCTATATGAGGTGAGGATATGCAGACATCTGTAAATGTAATTAGCTTAACAGTGTTTATTTAACACATACGTTTGTGGTAATTAGATTGATTTGAAGGTTAACTTTTAGCGAATGAAGTGGATTGTATATGTGTTCTTTATACGCAGTCACTATCTACCTCGATGTGGCCATGCTAAATGAGGTTGTATTAGTTAGCAGAAGGTTCAGGGCTTACTTGTTGATCTGATCTGGGATAGACTACCTGAGATAATAGGAGTTAGTCATTGAGGACTACTTGTGATATGACTGACAATAATTTCTGTTTTTGCTGCCCTTTTGTTCTTTATCAATTACTATGAACTCTACCAGGCTGAAATGATGCACTTATGTGTGTGTATGCATGCGTACGTGCGTGCGTGCGTGTGGTTCTACGTTGATCTTGTCTGTGTTTCACAAGGTCTGGTATTGCTCAACTCTGTCGTTTTACAATACACTAATGAGTAAATCACCATTATTTTATTGTGTTTTACCGTTTCATATTTTTAGACCCATGATAATCGTGAACACTTAGCTATGATGGAACGTACTTTAGGCCATATTCCTTATCGTATGACTAGGAAATCACGGTATGTCGATTGTTGTTTACCAATAATCTATATTTATTATCAATATTCTGTTGTAAATTTGACTTCTCACTAATCCACCTTCTTTTTCAAACAGGAGAGTGTAATTATTGTATAGTGTGAATTGCGCTGATGCTTCTCCACTAATGTTGGTTTTTAGGCCAACAAATCATTCCAGAGGATGCATAAACATGTATTCATTCATTCGCTTCTAGAAGGGTGTGTCACTAGTATGTTGTGTTAGCAGTACAAATTGCCTTTAACCAACTGGCAAAATCAGAGCGTAGATCCTCGCAAAGGAGTGCATCTGTTCAAGTTGCCACACTGCAGGCAAGTACACCAAGAACCATCTGAAGATAAAGGTTAGTGTGAATATTCAAGCTTTAGAAGATGTTTAGGAGTGTCATGAATTGTCCGCAACCGCTGATTCTTTTCGTTTGGAGGCCTCAGACCGACAGTCCGTATCTCTCCACACGAATCCGACGAACAATAAGGGAGAGACTTCATCGACCGATGTCTCATGTTGGTCTGGTCACCCTGAACCCTTTTCCATCCTAATCGATTTCCCTCCGTAGCATAACACGTCGAGATAAACGAGGTGGATCGGCATACGCAGTACAAGTTGTTTTTAGTCTGTCGTAAGTCATGCATCGCACAACATCTCTGCATATTACCCACCAATGATATATTGTCTTTCCAAGATGATATTTGTCACGGATAGTTAGAGAGTTATTGGAAACATATGAGCCGTGGATAACTGTTTCGTCTTTAGTGTTGTAGGTCTCCTCAACAGTCCTTGATCCTTCTCTCTCTCCTTCTGCTGTGAATTCGCGATATTATTGCACGATCATCACCGAATGTCGTCACTGAGGATCTGCCTGACCCTCGTCATAGGTCACGACTTCTTATACTGGGACAAAATATCTCTTCATTGCTCTCAACTAGTTCGTGATGGATATCATTTTGAAATCAATCCACCTGCAAAATAAACTTCATCTCCGTTAGTTAAAGAAAATAGGTTTCATTTAAGAGAGTAGTTGAATGCATATAACAGTGAAGTTAATGCATACGTAGCACATGTTTTTCATATAAAAAAACCTGCCTACCTCATACTCATCTTTGTTTAGAACTGGGTTTTTCTATCATGGACGTTTGGATTGGGATTTTTATAATCAAGAAGGTCGTTATGTACGCGAGAATTGTCGTCCATTACTTGTAAGTTATATTTCTGCCTGACTGAACTATTCCAAGCAGCATGATGTAATGCTCTTGTTTGACAATTTGAAGGGAACTACGCTTGTGCCACATTCGTCATGTCTACTTTTTATTTTAAACAGTTTCTGATTATTTTTGCATGCAGTTTGTTTAACATATTCCCTTTGAAATTCTTTTTCTTCTCCTCACTTGTCACTTGCTTGTCTGCTGAACACACATACACACACATCAATATTTCTTGATACATATGGATCACGATGATATTATTATCCTACGATTCGTCTATCGACTGACTTCTCCACCATCTTCGATGGTATTAACTAATAACGATTATGGTGCATGTATTCATATCATTTTGCATTGTATGTTTTGTTTTCTTCGAAAAAAAAAACATCAAACAAACAAAACTATATAGTCGAACGAAGTACTTTGATACTTCTGGTAATCTGTTATGGGATGCACAATCACGTGAAGCCAAATATGTCTTGACGCATTGTCGACCGTTCCGGGTAATTTGTGTACTTTTATACCTTTTTGAATGTTGTATTTTGAAGCATTTTGTATGGCTTATACTGTCTTGCTGACTGATTGGCTGGCTTGAATTCGCTGAATGTTTATGTAGCGATGATAAAAAGTTTATCACTGGTTTTTATTTTGTTAAATGTTAAGGTTTGGATCTATGCTAACCATATGTGTAGAGTAGAGAGAAAGAAGAAAGGAATATAGATGCGATCAGCTAAACCGTTTTGCCTCCTCATGGTGTTTAAATAATGTTGCATCATCAACAATATCGGTAATGATGAGAATAAACGTATTGAACAATCTGAGGATAAGGGCTAGTCAAGCTGAGACTAACAGTCAGGGACTTCATTGACTGGCGTCGAGTCTTGGTTTGGCCAACCTAAACCGTCTTCCAACCTAATCGAACTTCCCCCTTAACGTTGCACGTCGTAATAGGCGATGGTGGATCGGCATACGCAGTACATATCCAAGCCATCTCAGTCGACTACGGTTCACAACCTCATCAGCTGAGTCACCGACCTGTCTAGTAGTCGCTTCGTGTCGTCTCTAGTCTAACAGGTGAATTACATTGTCAGTCTCCTAACATAAAAGCAAAATGTTCGATTTAGTTGACGGCAAACATTTAAGCTTTCGTTCGAACATCAGTCAACAAATATTTATCTGCCGAGTAGTCGTGTGTGTACTTCCTGCTATTTGAGCTAATCAAAATGTGAACCACCACCACCACAATAATACCACTGACAATCAAAGATAAGAAGAGAAGGTGGACAGATAACAGAGAGTTTCCATTGTCTCAACAACTGCCGAAAACAGTTGAGAGCGATACTGAATATACATATTTCTAAATGACCTTGACAAATTCACTGATAGGTTAGAAGAGCTAACAACGAATGAGAGTTCAAGTTTGTGAAGGAAGAGGAAAAACAAAAGTTGACAGCGGTGCGAAAATACTAATGATAAAGTTATTTTAAAGTTGTAGACAAATATCAAGTGAAAGTTGGACCAAAATCACGAGTGAAAGTTGCTTTCAATCATTAAGCTTTAAAATCTTCATTGATGCGCTTTTCCCTTCTAGTACACATCATTCCATAGGCTTACATGACCTAAACAGATAGTCAATTATTACTATTATTATTATCCCCTTTTTGTCCATACGAAATTCACTACAGAGCTACGGTTTATTCAGTCTAGATACTTCGCTTTCAATCAGTCGGTCACAACTTTGAACTCTATCATGTCTACCTAATGAAGATTTAGAAACTCGTCGAATACTTCATGCCTTCTCATCTGCTTCTTCTTTTTCTACTGGTTTCCTTTGACAAATTTGTTCAATGTGAGAAACTCTTAGTTGGGATTCTCTTCCTACATGGTTTTAAGTAATCTATTCCAATGGGGAAAAGAACCTGGGTGGTTAAAATTCACCACCTTGTTACATTGTATATATTAACACGATTGTTCAGGCTGAAATTTAATAGATAGACGGTTCAAATAAACTTTAGTGACGGCCAATCATGTTCAAGTATGCACTGACCAACCACAGTCGAGAATATGAAGGACAAAGTAGTTAATAGGAAAAGAACGGTATTCTGTTTAGAATTTATACATCTGTTTCACGTGAGAAATAAAAATATGTAGATTTTCAATAGGTTTATCATCTTTGAAACCATGCCAGTGTCTCCATTGTCATTCATCGGTATATTAGACCATAACATTCCCCTGGGTGATCCTGTTAAACATCTTAGAGAGACATTTAGAATTTAGTGATTTTTCACGTTGGTATTCATCATGGATTGACATCAGTTGTAGGAAGATTGAAAACCTAAAAGTACGGGACGGCTATTTCATCATAAAATGGGACTCTTAAACAGTACATACCCATTGGTCGAACCTACAACCTTCTTACCATCTAGCCACTGGGTCAAAATCGAATGGTGTATATTCCTAATATTTGTCAGTTCATTTTTTGAGATGACTCTTCATATTTTCGAGGTTGTTTATGTGTATTTTAGTTGTACACTCAACGATGAGCCACTTGTAAACAATAGCTTGATTGATTGTGGATAACCTACTACACATAGACGCATATATGACTTCCTGCATCTCTGTGTGTAATATGTCACAGACATTTTTACATAACTGTTAGAATAGATTTTTCTGATCCATCCTTTATCCACTGAAAATATCGTTTCTTTGTATTTTGGTCGTATTTACCAAAAATCATTTGGTAAGGCTTACAGCTGTATATATACATTGCGTAAATTATAGTCTTCTTAGTGCATGCCCAATCCATCTCCACTTCCTTCCGCATATCTGTTGAGCGACAGTTTCTTGCTTCGTTGCCAGCCAATCAGAGTTCTTTGTTACTTATTTTTCTAGCCATCTGATTTTCAGTATGGAGTGAGCGTAAGTGGCAGCTGTTGATGAATATCTGTAGTTTGTTGGAAATACCTTTCGTAACGTGCCCAGCTTCTGAACCATCACAGAGTAGCACTGACTTGACTGGATTGGTGTTGAAAATCTGGATCTTGTTCTTTATGCTGAGTTGCGTGCAGTATATCTTCACACTAATTTCAGATTAATGAAGGTCTGTCTTGCTGTCTTTCCGATCCTAGCTAGCTTTGACGTCCTCGTCTGTGACGCCACCTGTAAATGAAACAGTGCTGCAAAGATAAGTATAGGTGGAAGAGGCTACTTCCTTGAAGTTTCTCCCTTTGATGGTGGTTGGAGCTTGTTGTTGTTGGTGTTGGTTGGTTATCATCATGATCTTTGTTTTCTTTACGTTCACTTGAAGTCCCGTCTTCGCTGCCCACCCTCTTCTCTCAACTTGTTAGTTTTCGTCTGCAGATCTCCAAGTTTATGTGACATTAGACATAAGTCATCATGGGCGAAATCTAATTCTTCTAGGATCTTTTCCCCAGTCTAGCCAGCGTATCCGCCTTTTCTCGCTCCTCACTGTTTGTTGCATGATCCAGTCGATCACAATCAGGAAATCATGGGTGATAGTAAACAGCCTTGTTTTACTTCTATCTTCACTTCACTTCAAAAGCATCACTGAGCTTCCCATTGTGGATCACTTTGCATGTGGTTTCTTTATATAGTTGTTGAATGAGGTTGATAAAGGTTTGTGGTATTCCGTAGTGTTAGAGCAGTGATATTGGTTATTACTACCTTGTTGGTAAAGCTTCAGTCTGATTTTGTTACTCTGCAGAAATACTTTCTAGATTATGTTGAGTTAGTAGTTTGAGTTGTGGATCAGAATTCCATCGACACATTGTGTTACGTATGCCTTAGCCATTCTCTGCCTCATCATACAATGTTGGCTGAACTAGCTTGAGGCTTGAAAAATGCTCAAGACGGCCAGATGTAAACATGGCATCAAGGCATGAAGTCTTTGACTGTTGGTTTGACCCATGTAGGGTGATGTAGACTAGCCGGTTAGTGTCTATGGAACAAGAGAAATCAGTGTTTGTTCGAGACTAGCTGAGATAATGGGCATAGAACCGATGTCAATGGTCGAGAGTTTTCTCTCTTTCTATATCTTTCATTTTATTGGCTTATTACTTGATGTGTGATGTGGCAAGTTGGATCATTGCGCAATAATGCCTGGCCTTATAGTTGATCTTGATGTTGACTCGAGATCATCGACTTGTGGGTATATTTTTTCTTTTTCCTGCTTTCATTAATTGCCGCAGTGATTGGTTTATGTTAATGGTGTATTTATTGTCTTGGTTAAATTCTCTTCTCTTTCTTGTTGTTGTACTATTTTGTTTCTTTTTTCTAGCGTTATTGTAAAGATGAAAGTCAAGATACACTGGATTTATTCGATCTAATGTCTAAAATGCTGGAATATGATCCAGCAGATCGTATTCCATTATCTGCAGCGCTTACACATCCCTTCTTTTTACACTTACCTTCACATCAACGTTTAACATATACAAATCCATCGGATACACTTCTACCCCCTAATGAACGTCGTACATCTGGTTCACGTAGTACTAATCAACCAACAACAACAGGTACAAATGGATCCTCATCTTCATCATCAGTATCCTCAGATGTTAAACGTAATCGTTAGTAAATAAAAACTACTAGTGTTCATTCAGTTACTTATCATTTGAATTTATGTCTTTTTGATGAGATCATTGCCGTTTTTCTTTGTTATTTCACAGACTTCTCTGCGATTAAATTATAGTGATCAAAGAATATTTTGCCCCGATAATAAGTATATATAGAGAAAGTCGAATTGAGACACATATAAGACAAACGAGAAGAGAGTGGATAACAATTGGTATCGTTTTACTTTTAAATATTACCATATGGGTTAGACGAAAAAATAGAAAAAACATTAATTTGATCAAGTATCTACGTTGGTGTTGTATAAGTGTATGTATATGGGTACGTACGTGTGTTCGAACCCACAGGTCTGACAGTTACACAGTGTATACACACATAAACGCATACAATCTCGGTTGTGAAACATCTTGATCGCAAATAGAACGTGGGTTGCATAGAATGAACACACACACATACTACAGAACATCATCACCACTAGCTCTCGAACCAACAAAGTCGATAAGTACACATAGTAGTAAACATTGGATTACACCTCAGAGAGAAGAGTACGAACGAAGAATATGCAAAGGCACAAGCAATACAAACTTTACCAAAAGTTGAACTAGACGAAGAATAGAACATAAAGAAAGACACATCAGATTATGAAAACAATAATCAAGAACCGACTATAAACGATTAACAAGTTCAACAAGCAATATGAGCGTGGGGCGGGTCAGATGGTGGAAATGTCTGCAAAGAAAACAAAGCGAAGGAGCAATCTTGCACTGATTGAGAAGGCTTGAATCGAACACGACCAGAAAGGAGAAAGAAATGAAGACAAAGAAATACTCTGAACAAAGGAGTAACATAAGCCTAACAATCTGAGTGCATAATCTATCGAGGAACAAAATACACGTACATACAACCATATGAGACGTGGTCATCAATATGCGCTAAAGTACCCCCGCCGCCTGCTTTCATCACTGATTTCAATTGCATAGTCATAACAACAAACATTCCCCTCCTTTATAGAGGACATCAATGTGTTTACAACAAGAAGGTGGAGAGACACACCATACACACCCAAGAAAAATAATGGCACCTCTCAGAACGTATAGGTAGGCACTTATTACAGAGGGAAAAAAGGTATTAGAAGTATTGCTGACGAAATATGAATGATTTAGAAAAGAGATGATTAGAAAACAAACCTGCACTTGCATATTCAACATAACAGAGCTATATACATGTATATAGCTCTTTTTCCCTGTAATAAGTGCCTACCTATACGTTCTGAGAGGTGCCATTATTTTTCTTGGGTGTGTATGGTGTGTCTCTCCACCTTCTTGTTGTAAACACATTGATGTCCTCTATAAAGGAGGGGAATGTTTGTTGTTATGACTATGCAATTGAAATCAGTGATGAAAGCAGGCGGCGGGGGTACTTTAGCGCATATTGATGACCACGTCTCATATGGTTGTATGTACGTGTATTTTGTTCCTCGATAGATTATGCACTCAGATTGTTAGGCTTATGTTACTCCTTTGTTCAGAGTATTTCTTTTGTCTTCATTTCTTTCTCCTTTCTGGTCGTGTTCGATTCAAGCCTTCTCAATCAGTGCAAGATTGCTCCTTCGCTTTGTTTTCTTTGCAGACATTTCCACCATCTGACCCGCCCCACGCTCATATTGCTTGTTGAACTTGTTAATCGTTTATAGTCGGTTCTTGATTATTGTTTTCATAATCTGATGTGTCTTTCTTTATGTTCTATTCTTCGTCTAGTTCAACTTTTGGTAAAGTTTGTATTGCTTATGCCTTTGCATATTCTTCGTTCGTACTCTTCTCTCTGAGGTGTAATCCAATGTTTACTACTATGTGTACTTATCGACTTTGTTGGTTCGAGAGCTAGTGGTGATGATGTTCTGTAGTATGTGTGTGTGTTCATTCTATGCAACCCACGTTCTATTTGCGATCAAGATGTTTCACAACCGAGATTGTATGCGTTTATGTGTGTATACACTGTGTAACTGTCAGACCTGTGGGTTCGAACACACGTACGTACCCATATACATACACTTATACAACACCAACGTAGATACTTGATCAAATTAATGTTTTTTCTATTTTTTCGTCTAACCCATATGGTAATATTTAAAAGTAAAACGATACCAATTGTTATCCACTCTCTTCTCGTTTGTCTTATATGTGTCTCAATTCGACTTTCTCTATATATACTTATTATCGGGGCAAAATATTCTTTGATCACTATAATTTAATCGCTTTTTTCCCCTTCTCTAATTGTTCAATGAATGATCAATAATTTTCTTCAATTTTTTTTGCTCTGTGTAAAATGTTAATATTTTTTTTCTTCGTCTTCTTCATATAAACCATACCGAGAAATAATGATCCGGTTAAGTTTTGGTTTCAGTAGTTGGTTTACTAAGTGGTTCCATTATGAAGTTGTATGTGTGTGTGTTCAGTGTTGTGTATGCTTGGATGTTTGATTGAAGTTGGTCGATAATTATATTGTCAGTTTGGTTGAATATGATTGGACTGCGACCGGATTCAAATCAGCGATCATCGGGTTTCCTCACCGGCGCTCTCCCTACTGATCTACGAGGTCTAACTGCTGACCACAGTCTTATTTCATTTCAATTGCCAGTATCAGTACTAGTCTACTAAACCACGACGACTACCTCAGACATTCAATATGATGACTGCCTTCACTCTTTAACTCAGATTTGCGTTGGGATGAGAAATTCTGACTGCAAGCAGCCTATATGAGTACGACCAACCGATAGTATCGCGTCATGAATTCACGTGGAAATCGTCGGGAAAAACCCGTAATTATTGAACTTAAATAAAAATGTAGCCAGTTGTCGGATCTCGTAGCTCACTTGGTGTAGAGCATCGGACTCGAAACCCAGGCGTTGCTGGTTCAAATCCCGCTGCGGTCCAAATTTCCATTTCACATTTAATCATAACACATTATTAATACTAGTCTGCTAAACCACGGCTGCTATTTCAGATAGTCAAAATGATAATCATTATCAAATTGTTAGAAGTGGCGAAAATCATCTAGAAAGGTCCAGATATAGTCAGCGCTGTTGTAAATTTATGTAAGGCGTTGTATCTTGACGCATTTTTGACGTTACAGTATACTTTTATTTTGTGTTACCGTTTTTTCTACTTACCAAGGAACTTAGCGATCCCCATTTGTTATCGTTTAAGTAAGTGTTCACTCATGTATATGTAACCAGCATTTACTATTGAGCAAAAACAATCATGTGTTCAGACTCATGCGTCTCATAGTGTGTTTTTGAAAGAAGAACAAGTTTATTTCAGCGAAGAGTCAATCTTCGGTGATTTCATTTTCAAAGCTGTTTAATCATAAATTTATTCATTTTCTTCTGGTGTAAGTATTTCTTAGTTGAAAATGGATTGTCAAGCATGGCAGGTAACGCAAATAGTGTCACTCATGTTAGCTGTCATTAAAATCACCAAACTTTGATGAGTAGTGAATATTAATGAAAATAAGTTTGGACAAGAAGATGTTTTGTGACATGACGACATAATTGGAAAGTGAACTGTGATCAGGTGGAGCAGAGCAATAAGAGAGAATGCCAAAAAGGTTGGGGTGGGGGGGGGGAGAGGTGATTTCAAAAACTGAATATTCAGACTACGAAAGGAGAAGGGGTTAGAAAATCTTTTGTATACACAGTTCAGGTTTCCTCATTTAGATGACAAGAGCTTCGGTGATGCTGAGAATACGAAGACATAGCTTTTGGAAGGTTTCTTTTCACTTTGTAGATGAGATTAAACGAGGTTTTTTGAGATAGGGTGATTTGTGTTAACGATGTATTCAATGATATCACGCCTTATCGCCTTATTGTTACCGATTTGTAACCACGTGGAATAGCGTTCTCGAACCTTTTTGAATAATGTGGTTCCATGGCGTTTCTTATGTGATTCGATCTAGCCACTCTGTTCCAATCTGATTCAGTCCTACCTAACATTGTACTTTAAGGTAGACAATGACTCGACATGTGCAGTACATGCCCCAGCCACCTCAGTCGATGAATGTTCGCAACCTCCACAGATGACGCAGTGTATCCGAGCTGAAGTTTCGTCACCAACCAACCCTTTGACACGTTCCCACCACGTCACTTCTCCCTATGATTAAACTAGAAGTGGTGGCAGGCCGGTACTTACACTTAACAGGTACGAAATGCATGCCAAAGATACTAAGATTTCTGTTTAATGCATTGAGAATCTCCTGCATTTTGTAAGCTTTACCCAGCCAGAAGAACTGAGTTACCATCAAAGCTAAATTCTAAAGGTTATTTGTTATAGTGTACAGGTTCATGTGTCTAATAGTGTTTCCATGAAAGGCGTATGTTGGTTTTATAGAAGAATTGAACCAATGTATTTATTGGATTTCATTTATTCTTGCTTGGCTTTGGGAATGAACTGACTGTTGAAGTAGCGTCTGAAGCTTGTCATATGCGTAGAGTGGATATATTTAGCTTTCGTTAAGTCGTAAAGCTGGACGTCTAAGATAATCTTCCTAGACTGTTTATATGGTACTCTACATGATTAATTTGGGGTTATATATTGCCTGGAGTTCGAAATCTTGTCTTATATACCTTCATGGCCTTGTGACTATGAGAATTCGTTAACTTCGTATACTATCTTATGATCTAGGTACATTGGCGTTGACTCGTCATACCCCCTGTTTCATATAAGCTTTATCATTTTTCCAAGTTGGTGTTCATCATGGACTGACATTGGCAACTTTGGAGCACTGCAAAACCGTTTCGCCCTAGTACGAGAATCCACAGCAGTGCGCACCCATGTCACGGCCAAGGATGGAACCCGCGACCTTCAGTCTCTGTGATCAGCACGTTACTATTGAGCCAGTGGGTCGGAATCCGATGGCCCATATTTCCGGATTTTGTCAGTTCACGCCGTAGCGTGATCACTCATGTCATCATTGAGTATTTTCCCTCACGTCCACCAAGTTTAC